TGGCTGCCACTACCACAGTAGCAGCCAAAGCCCTGGGTCCTTTAAATTGCTGGCAGAGCCCTTGGCGATGCACCAGCCCCGCCCCTTCTACCCAAGGCCCCTCCCCTTGAAGCCTCGTCAGCCCTGGCGAGTGGAATCACGTATTAGCGTGAGTAAGTGGAACTGAATCGGGACCAGAACATGAGGCTACTATTCTATGTGAGCTCGGCGCGCTTTGGGCCTCTTCGTCTGAACGCCGCAGGACCCGAGTTCCTTGCTCCAGTGTAGCTGCTCCACTTGGCATTTGTTCTCCACAAGCCACGCAGCCGTCTCTTCAGGCGTCTTCCCTGCAGCCCCTTCCCTGCGCAGCACAGGGCTAACTGCGCCTCTGTGGGCATGCTCTTTTCCCTTAGGCTACGGGACAGCACTCCTGAATGGCCACGCCATGAAGAGAGAGGACTCGAAAGGATCTCTGAGTTCAGAAGGGGCCACGGGTTCACCCGATCAGCACACCGGCGAAAACGTAATGCGGGGGGCTGCCAGAAGGCAATCACACCCTTGGGCCAGTTAAAAAATAATCACCGTGCTGCTCACTCCTTGGCAAGCCGCTGTAAAGCAGAAGAAAGCGAGACTAGTGTTTTACAGAGGTCAGGCTAGAAGACCTACTTGTGCCTTAATCTCTTAATCTAAATACTGTGCCTTATTTATCCGAGACCAAAGTCCGGATTCATAGGGAATGTGTCTGCTTCCTGGCTGCACATGGGCTGTGCCTGACACACATGTGCACTCACAGCCCCATTGCTTCCAGGGGTCACTGGAGTTCTGGGGGGGATGGAAACAGAGCACCGTGGGGCCTGCCTGCCAGGGAGCAGCACTGTCGGGACAAGGCGCTGAGAGGACGCAGCTATAGGAAAAGCTGCCGCCACCTCAGCTTGCGGAAAATCACGCGGCTCAAATGGCCCAGGGAAGAATCTGGCCCCAGATTTTAGGCCCAAGTGGAGCCCGAGTTGGGTGCACACAGGCTGGGAGGTGCCCCAGCTCCCTGTGAGTGCCAGGCATGTTGCACGAGGAGAGGGGACGGAGGCGACGTTGTCACACACTCTTCTCACAACGTTGCCCTCGGCAACGAAAGCGGCCACGGGGTGAGCTCTGAGCGGCCACCTGGGCTGCCCGTGCAGGCTCACGAGGGAGCCTACAGATCATCTCGGTGGGAGAGGCCGGGCCTAGGGAAGGGCCAGTGTCCCACCAAGAGTCCTGAGGCCCCTGTATTGCCAGGTCCCCGGGCCCGGTGCCCTTCCCAGGCAGCCGAGCACGCGGCGTGTTCATACGCCCCATTGGAGAGAGCATCCGGCTGTGCTTGGCAGCCAGTCAGGCTGGGCTTAGCCCAGTTCTTGTCAAGGGACCCTCATGAGCCAGGAATCCTCTTCCAAGGGGCAGGAGGCTGGTTGGGCAGAGTCCCCCCCCCAACTAGTTCTCTGTTCATGGACGGGGGCACACTGGGGTTCGGTGTCACAGCAGCAGAGGGGACACGTGGCTGGAGCCGCACCTCCTGGTTTCCAGCATGTAGGGGGGTGCAGTACGAGGGAATTTGGTGCATACCAACAGCAGGAGGCTCAGTCTGTGCTGTGCAGTGACGTGTGGCCTCGCCTCTTCCAGAATAAATACTACACTAAAAATGTCCGTCTGTCCTGTCTGAACATGGGGCCCAGCTTAAAATACCCACCTGTGTGGGGCTCAGCCAGACCCAGGGGGCTGAGCGGGCGCATGTGTTTCTCTCTGGCGCTCACTCCGTGGCCATTGTTGCCTTCAGGTGGCTGAGACGCCAGCCAGTGCTACTTCCTGCCTGTTCTTACGGTGGCATGGGAGACATGGCAGCATCCTGCCCCTCACACGCGGATTGTAGCCACCGGCATATTTCCTGGAAGCAGCGTGAGGTGGGGGGCCGTCCAGGCGACATTCGGAGCAGGGTCCGGCAAGCTGGGCACCAGCCTGGGTTTCTAATCCGTATTTTTGTGATGGTTAGAGCCGGAGAAGTTCCACGAGGAGCAACATGTCCCACCACGCGAGGCTGGACCAGTATGAGATCCGGAACCTCCTCATGTGTTACCTCTATGTCATTAAAATGGTCTCTGAAGGTTAGTGATGCTTTCCGGACAGTGCTTAGGGCGGTGGGGCTGGTCCCCTCCACAGCCGCTGGATGCCAGGCAATGTCCTCCAGGACAGGAGCAATGCGGGGCCACCAGGAACAGCCATACTCTTCCTCACCTGCCAGGCCCCAGTGTGAGACCCTGGAGAGGCTGCTCTGTGCCCCTACCCCCAGGCTTTGCCACTCAGGCACCAGTGTGGGCCCAAGTCTGGCATAGCCCCGCCAGTCCAGTGGTCTCCAGACTGTGCATTGCACCTGGTGCGCTGGCGCACTGCAGGACTGGGGGCGCTCCTCTTGCTAGGCCCAGCCATCTCCCCCAGCCAGCCAGGGCTGCAGAGGGCCAGGACAGCTGGATATGAGTCAACAGGGCGCCCTTGTAGCTAAGAAGGCTAATGGCATATTAGGTTGCATTAAGAGGAGCATTGCCAGCAGATCCAGAGATGTCATTATTCCCCTTTATTTGGCATTGGTGAGGCCACATCTGGAGTATTGTGTCCAGTTCTGGGCCCCCCACTACAAAAAGGATGTGGATGCATTGGAGAGGGTCCAGCGGAGGGCAACCAAAATGATTAGGGGGCTGGAGCACATGACTTATGAGGAGAGGCTGAGGGAGTTGGGTCTGTTTAGTCAGCAGAAGTGAAGAGTGAGGGGGGATTTGAGAGCAGCCTTCAACTTCCTGAAGGGAGGTTCCAAAGAGGATGGAGAGAGGCTGGTCTCAGTAGTGACAGATGGCAGAACAAGGAGCAATGGTCTCAAGCTGTGGTGGGAGAGGTCCAGGCTGGATATTAGGAAAAACTATTTCACTAGGAGGGTGGGGAAGCACTGGAATGGGTTACCTAGGGAAGTAGTGGAGTCTCCATCCCTAGAGGAGTTTAAGTCTCGGCTTGAGAAAGCCCTGGCCGGGGTGATTTAGATGGGATTGGTCCTGCCTAGAGCAGGGGGCAGGACTTGATGACCTTCTGATGTCTCTTCCAGTTCTATGATAAGGGGATGGTTTGAGAACATGATCTTGGTAACTATTGACCATTCATTATCAGTGAGAAATAGGTCAGTGGAGTTACTATAGAGAACTTTCTGGGTGTCTGGCTGGTGAGTCTTGCCCACATGCTCAGGGTTTAGCTGATCACCATTTTTGGGGTTGGGAAGGAATTTTCCTCCAGGTAGATTGGCAGAGGCCCTGGAGGTTTTTCGCCTTCCTCTGTAGCATGGGGCACAGATCGCAGCTGGAGGATTCTCTGCATCTTGGGGCCTTCAAAGTATTTGAAGGCTTCAATATCTGAGATATAGGAGAGAGGATTATTCTGAGAGGGGTGGGTGAGATTCTGTGGCCTGCCCTGTGCAGGGGGTCAGACTAGATGATCAGAATGGTCCCTTCTGACCTTAAAGTCTGAGTATGAGTCTATGAGGACTAGAATCGTGGAACCCCAGCCCTTCCTGCAGGGCTGAACGGAGAAGGGAGGGGAGGGAGCCGCATTAGATAGAGGAGGTCCTGTCCTGGGAAAGGGGGTGAGACGGCGGGTAGGGCCTTGCTCAGCTGTCCAATGGCATCTTTTTCAAAAACCCGTCTGCGGGGACGGGGAGCCTCTGGCCCCTGACGGCTGGGGCAGGGCAGCTGGGGGCTGTTTGCCTGCATGGCTGGACACATGCTTCCGCGTGTGGGGCTGCAAAAATCCAGCTGCAGCCTGCAAAGAGCCCTGGGGCAGCCTGACGGGTCCCTGCTACGTCCTTAGTGGGATTGTTTCATTTTCAGATACGCTGCGCACCTATTGGAACAAAATCTCACCCCAGGAGCTGATCAACGCCCTCGTGTTGCTGGAGTAAGTAGCGGGGAGCTTCTCCGTGTCCAACAACGCGCGCTACGGTTGTTATGGAGCCGAGGGCGGGAAAATGGAACCCGGCCGCTCCCCGGGGGCCGCGAAGCGGCTTGACAGAACCGTGCTGTGCCTGAGGAAGAATCCCTGAGCAGCCCTGCAGGAGCCCCCCCGAGGAGCAGCGAGAGGCACGTGTGGCCGCGCTGGCAGGCTTCCTGCGTTCGGCCTCGCGTGGGGGGGTGTTGCCGAGCGCTGGAAACGCCCAGCTGCTCCTGTGGCCCATTGCGTCTGGCGGCGCAGACAGGGCGGCGGGAATGGGGGCTGAGTGCAGGCGCCAATCCCGACACCCAGTCCCACGTATGCAGCCATGCTCTGGTGAAAGGGAAACCGCTCCGTCCCCCCTGACTGTTCCTACGTGTTTTCCTTTCTAGAGTCTGTTTGTTCCACTTCAGATACGTGGGGAAGAGAAATATAGCCAGGTACTGCGCTCTTTTTGCTCACGGCTTCTCCCCCCAACCCCGCCCAGGCCCACTGATAGGGGAGGGGGCAATTGCCCTGGGTCCCAGCTAGTCAAAGGGGCATCACTGCTGCTATTTCAGCAGCCGAGCCCTGGGCCCCTTAAAGCAAGGGGGGTGCCAGCATGGCGCAGTGTGGGTGGCACAGAGGGCTGGGGGGCACACTGGGCTGGGGGGTGCCAGCATGGCGTGCTCCAGGCAACGTGGAGGGCTGGCTGCCCAGGCCTCACCCCTCAATCCCAAGCCCCCCCCCCTCCAGGAGTGTGGAGCTGGGCTCCCCACACCTTGCCCAGGGGCCAGGGAGGCCGGCGTTGCCCTGCCCTTCCTCCCCGAGGAGCGCACGTGTCCAGCGAGGGCCCTGGAAGCTTCACTTCTCTCTGCGCCCTGCGTTGCTGCGGCTCAGCCAAGGGTAGTGTCCACTCTCGCTAGTAAAGCTCCACATCCCGGCCGTTTCTCTGACCCGCCGCCCCTTCCCCAGGGCTGTGTGTCCATTTCCTGCTGGCGCAGGGCTGCACACAGGGAAACGCTAGCAGTGGCGCTCGGTTCACATGACCGGCTCAGGACCTGCTTCTCCAGGGTGCCCCTTCGTTGCTGGCTCTGAGGGAAAGGCCTGTTGCCGGGGCTGACTGGCCTGGTGCTCCGATGGGTGCCCCGGACAGGTGTGGGACCTGGCCTGGCCTGTTTTGTTGCCTGGCCCAGGTGAAAAGCCCTGGGTGGTGCTGGCATGAGCCAGATACATGCTTCAGACGTGGGTCTCCCTGCCTGGCCCTGGGCCCACCCCCATCTGCAGCTTGGGTTCTCGTTGCAGGGTTCACGACGCCTGGTTATTAAAGTACGTGGGAGCTGACAGGAAATCCCAGACCATGCCTGCCCTGCGCAGCCGAGCGGGCCTGATGCAGGCCCGGCTGCAGCACCTCAGCAGCCTGGAGAGTTCCTTTACGCTCAATCACAGTACGTACAGAGCCACAGGGTCGGCAACACCCGGATCGCGCCTGCTGCTGCTTGTGATGTCGCTTCCCTTCTGTGGCTTCGGGTGGCTTGGCTTTGTGCAGTTACGCAGATCACCTCTCTCCCTGGCGGCCCTTAGCGAGGTGGGGAGGGGTTGGGGCTTCATGCCAAAGGGTTTGTTAAGTCACCCATTCCGTATGGAGACGGAATTTCCCTCTTCCGCTCTCGCTCCCGCTTCTGGGTGGCAGGGAGGGACGGGCAGTGTTCTGGGGTTAGTGAGAGAGCAGGAGACACCTGGCCCCACGTCGGCTCCGGGGAGCCATCCTGGAGAGGCAGCTATGGACTGGGATGTCCTGCTGCGTCCGATTTGGGGGCCGAGGGAAGTGGCGAGAGGACACTCACACGCTTCCCTCCGTGTGTTGGCGATGCTGCCCTCGCCTGCCATGGGTAAAGCGGGTCCTTCCTGCGTGTAGCTCTCAGGAGAGCTGGAGTTAGCCCCCTTGTGTGTGCTGAGCTCCATGCGGGCCCATGTTCTGCCGGGCTCCATCACTTGCCTTTTCCTTCCTGCTCCTAGGTGCGGGCACTTCCGAAGCAGACATTGTACACCAGGCCTTACTAGAAGGCAACACAGCCACCGAAGTTTCCCTCACAGTCCTGGACACCATTTCTTTTTTCACCGAGTGTTTCAAGGTGAGCATTGAAACCAGCATTGTCCTTTGTGTAGCTCAGATCCCCACCCCCAAAACAATGCCCGTTTGCAAAGCCTGTGTTGGGCCCATTCGATTGGGAGAGTGCTCGGTCCAATAGCCTAAAGTCACACCACACGGAAGTATGATGCAAAGAAAGAAAACCGCAGCTGGGCCTTGAGCATGTATAGGTTTATTGACAGACTGATTTCAATAAAATAAGTAAATATATCCAGCCAGCGGGTGTGTTTAGGAATTCAAACAAATGCAAAAAGCCAAGAAGTCACGCACGGTGTTGCTCGTGCTTTGTGCCATGTTGTTTTAAGAGCTGTGGTGAGAGTTGTGACGGTTAGTAACATGGCTCAGCTTCTGAAATGACGTCTGCAAACGTGGTTATAGCTTTTGACTTTTTGGTTGGTACAGAAAATACAATCGCTGAGCAAACTGTACGGCTTTGTTGTGGGTCTTGCTGATTTTCCTACCATCGTTTGTCTGTACTTATTTACCCAACTCACTTTAGAACTCCTGTTTCTCTGGTTTAAGAAATGTATGTTCTGCTGTGCCCGGGTGTGCTAGTCATGTACAGTTCAAGTGCTTGCTCATGTCGATCCCATCCTGCGCCCTCTCAGTTCCCAGGCGATATGGACTACAGTGATTAGCTCTGGTTTCGGAGCTAGCGGAAATGCTTCAGCTAATAGACACATGGCAGGTTCTTTCAGGACAGAAGCACACCTCCCTGGAAAGCCATCCTAGAAGTCCAGTCTCCCTGCCACGCTGTCCTAAACACCACAAGAAACCGAGAGACATCTCCAAGTGGCCTTCTTAACAAAGAGCCTACAACTCTTTTGGTGCATGGAGAACTCACACTTGCATATGCTTAATGGTCGTTCGTCCAGGCTGAACCTCTCTAGTCTGGCATCCTCAGGACCTGACCAGTGCTGAATCGGAGACTTTGCCGAACTACTGAAGGTCAATATGGTCTAGCACCGTGGTCCCCAACACGGTGCCCGCAGGCACCATGGCGCCCACGGGGGCATTTGCAGGCGCCCGCCAGGTGCTCGGGGCTGGCCTGGCCCCGGGCACATGGCACACAGTGAGCGCCGGCCCCGGGCGCGCAGCCCTTGGAGGGGGCACCGGCCCCGGGCGCGTGGCTATGGGGGGGGCCCCGCCCCTGGGCATGCGGCTATGGGGGGGCGCCCCCGGGCGCGCAAGTGTCCCCACCCCCTGGCGCCCGACAACCTCAAAAGGTTGGGGACCACTGTCCTATTGCCTGGGGCGGTTAGCCAGTGCGCCTTTCCTTCACCTAGCCAGAGTCTGCTGTTGGTCACTTCAGCGGCTGAGACCAGCAGGTCTTGTTGGGTAGCAGGCAGCCCTCCACCACAGCGACCTGTTTCACTAAGTAGAAGGAGGTTTACATGCTGGGCCCTGGACCAGGCTGAGCAGACCATGCTGCAGGGCGGTTCCTGGACTATCTTCTGCACCCCATGCTCCAGGGCGCGTCCCTGTCATCAGAGTCCCCTTGGCCGCTATTCCAGCCTTCCACCTGCCGCTCCAGGGCAACCCTCCTGACATGACAGTCCTGTTTTGGAAAGGTCTGAAGAGTCTCTACTAGCACGTCAGGGATCCTGTCCCTCCCTGGCACCTTCCGCCTGGTGCCATTGTGGCTGATAGGTCCTCCCTTCAAGCCTCTGGCTTCCTGCTCTCTTCCTCTTCTCTCCTGGTTTGTGCCTGCTGGTGACAGTGTCTGTCCACTGGCTCTCTGAGATCAGGGCGCTGGCCAATGTTCTGCGAGAACAAGGTCTAGCTGTGGCCGCATTCATTGTTCCTGTGCAAGGTATTTTCACAGTTTCGGACCAGCCAGGACATGAGCTTACTGATCTTCTTTCTGGGGCATCGTAAATTGGAAGAAGGGCACAAGTTGCGCGCTCTGGGCTCAGGAGGGCACTTCCCTTGATACCGACAGAATGAAGCCGTTTCACGGGTCAGTGCAATTATTCCTTGTGGTGGGGCAGGATGAAAGGTTCCCTGGCGTCTGTGCAGAGGGTTTCATCCTGGATCGCAGCCTGCTTCTGTCAATGCTAAGAGCTGGCAAAATTTTCTTCACCGGTGACTATCCCCGCTGTACTAGCCCAAGTACCCATTCAGGTTATCTGTGGGGCTGCTGCTTGGTCGTCCATCCACATATTTGCATCTCATTATGCACTTACCCAGCAGGTCTGTGACGATGCTGGCTTTGGGAGAGCAGTGTTGCAAGCCGCACGTCCGTGAGCACTGAGCCCACCTCCTCGGACGCGGCTTGTGAATCCCCGAGAATGGAATGGACGTGAGCAAGCACTCGAAGGAGAAAAATGGTTCCCTGCCTTGCGGAACTGGTGTTCTTCGAGATGTGTTGCTCCTGGCCATTCCGTGGCCCATACCCCTGCTAGCAAGAAGGAACTGAGAGGGTGCCAAAGGGTGCCACAGCTGACCCTTCCGATACCGCTAAGGCAAACAAATCTGACAGCCGCGCAGGCAGGCACGCACGCTCCTCAAATGGAATGGGCATGAGCAACGCTCTCGGAGAACATCCATTCCCAAAGGTACGTCCCCCTACGCCGGGTGTTTCTGCCGCCTGACTTCTCGCCTTGCTTTCCAGACCCAGCTCGCGAACAACGACGGCCATAACCCACTGATGAAAAAGGTTTTTGATATTCATCTCGCCTTTCTCAAGAACGGGCAGTCGGAGGCAGCTTTGAAGCACGTCTTTGCTTCCCTGAGAGCGTTCATTAGCAAGGTAAGCGCAGAAGCAACACATGAAGCAGTCAGGAGCCCCCCGACCGTGAGCGCAAGGTACTGATGCTCCTTGGGGCTGGGTACAGGCTCTCACTGAATGCACAGGCGAGACTCAGAAGTCACTGCCCTGACATGCCTGGTGTCAGTATGTATTGCCCCCTTCCCCCTCCAATGCTGCTCTTTGAAGCATTTGTGCAAACCGGCAGCATTAAAATGAGCTTGCCCAACGCCTAAGGCCTGCTGCGTCTATGGGAGGTAGCACCATACGCAGCTTTTCCAACATTCAGGTGGTTCCTTTTGGCTCAAGGTGCATTTTTGAACCGGCCTCCCTCCCCAGCCAATCGCGAGGCAGTTCACGTGCTCAGGCAAACTCACGCCCGCCCTGCTGGATCTCTGTGCAAGATTCCCAGAGCCAGAGCTCCTGGAGGGGTGCCCCAGAGCTTAGTCCTTACACCCATTGGGCTGCAAAGCGAGGGGTGGGTTAAGCTCCTGGCTGGTGCCAACGGGGCAACTCGGCTTCAGTGGAATCTCGGCCATCTCCAGCAGCTGTGCTGGATTTGGCTGAGACATTTTCAGGGGCTTGAAAAATGATCTGAGTTCAGTTTTCTCATCTCCCCCTCCCCCCGTGACACACTGCTTCTGTAAAACGAGACAGGCCCAGTAGATGGTATCTGCAAGGAAGTGCTTTCTCTGCCCGCTGTAACCACATGGGTTCTAACCAGCCTTCCCCTACTTGTGTGAGACTTTAAAGGGCATTTCTAGCAGCAGAGTGAGACTAACGCAGCCAGGGCAACCAGCTCTCAAAGACAGCTGCAAGGCTGGCTTCTTTGTTTGCAAACTGGCTCTGGGATTTGAAAGTCCCAGCCAGTTGATTTTGGTTTGCACCAGCAACCTTGATCCAGCAACAGTGAATTCTGGGTGTTGCTCAGCTGCAGTTTGGGTGCATTATGATAACACACCTCCTTAAGCACAGAGGGAATGGGAATGAAGCAGGGAAGAGCCTAAATCATGGTGAGTTGGTAAAGCCAGCGGTTAGGGGAGGAAATCTTTTAATTTCACCCACATTAGATCCATTTTATCACTTGGTCTCAATATCTTCCCTTTTATACTGAACTCTAATTGGCAACCCACCAGGGAGGAGACAGAACTGGCACGAGAAAACTGAGGTCACACTGTGCTTAATTGTTTAAAAAAAGAGGAAGAAAAAGTTCTGGTTCGTTCCCTAGTGGAAACAGTCAGAAATCCATTATTTTTAATTGTTTACTCACATGGTTGCTGCCAGCCCCAAGTTGCTGGGGAGAAGGCTGCCATAACACGCCTTGCTCATGGGCAGGAGTGGTCCTGAAATGAAGAATTATGACGGGCGCGTATTTTGAGGGTCCAGCTCACTTGATCCGCGTCGGGCTGGAATCTGCAATGTCCAAGTGGAACCGAGAGGTGGGATGATGGGCGCTGGGTGCAGATCCCTACGCCTTGTCCACTGGCCTTGCTGCAGATTAAAGCTACAGGGGGGGCAACTTTCACTTTTGTCACAGGCAAAGGTCCATGAGAACTTCCTGCCAGTGGAGATCAGGAGTAGCAGGGCTCCGCTCCACCATACCCACTCTCCATCTCTCTCGCCTCCCTGGCCTGCCAGCTCTCCTCCCTCGCCTTATGCTAGGGGAGGCAGCTGGCACAGGAATCTTTTCCCATAGTCAGAGGTGACAGTAAGTGTGGGCATCCTGGTGTGCAGCTCTGGCAGAAGCCAGCGGGGAGCTATGTGAAGAGCTGGCAGGGCCCTGGGTTGCTATAGGACAGAACTGGTAAGAAACTTTAAATGACTTTCTCCGCTGCCCATAGCACAGGGAAAGTCTCTGGCTGCGTTAAGGGCACGAGGGCTACTTGTCTATTCAGGCACTTTCTGTGCTGTATGGCTGCTGCTCAGACGTCCCTGGGACCCTTTGCACTTCTTCAGCTTTTCCAGATACAAGGCTCTGGAGGCTGCTCTGCCACCAGGTGGTGGGGCATTCCCAACTCTTGGGGGCAGAAGATCTAGGACTGTTTACACCCAGGGAGGATTTGCCCCGTAGACAGGAACAGGCAAGTTACCCCTTCTCTTGGGCATGGAATGACTTCTCCTTGCACGGCCGAGAGCTGCCTTCCCACAGCTGGCACGCTGCAGGAGCGGCTGAGTTTTAGAGACCTGGGGAAGAGTCTCTGAACGTGCTGGGGCAGCCGCAGTCTTGCAGGTCTAAGACTTGTGCGTGGTGCAGTGCCCGGCCTGCAGGCCAGAACCAAACCCTACCATAAATCCATGGCCCACCAACCTCAGCCCAGCTTGACTAGCCTGCACCCTCAGCCAGCTGCCTGTGTGTGGCTCACCTCCTGCCTTTTCTGCTGCAAGAGGGCAATGCTACAGTAAGCAGCAGTTAATCTTTAATCATCGGTGTCTTCTGTGCACACTTTGTGAGCTCCTTCCTAGTACACTGAGCTTTGTTTTCTTTTTCCCAGTTTTTTTCCAGAAAATGTTCATTTTGGCCAAAGACCAAGACTTAGCTGCTGTCTCGCTCGTTCTAAGCTGCTGCTACTAATGTTTCTATTACCAATTCAATGTCAGAGTCCTGCCCCACACATCGGAGCCCTGGGGGGCGGGCTCATGCAGCAGCCGTGCTGGCAGTTGTATTGCCCAGCAGCCTTCCAGACACACCCTCGCGGGGCAAACCCCCTGACACTCTGTGACCTCGTGCGGCGTGGTTAGCATGTCTGGGGGAATGCCACCCCCAAACACACAGCCACGCACCAGGGAAGCCGCCCGGGCCATGGGGCGAAGAATTGCAGTGCAGACATTTGGGCTCAGGCTGGATTCGAGGCGCTGGGAGTCTCTATCCCAAGCCTGGACATCTATCCTGCAGATCTTGGCCCTGCTGCTCCACCTCCTTCTCGGTGCATAAAGGCTGCGAGGCTGGTCTTGGATTGCACCATAAGTGCGCCCTGAGCGTTGGTGTGTGTTCCAGGCCCACGGGCCCGGCTCGCCCTTCTTCTCTTGTCTCGACCTCACCACAGCCACAAGAAGTGTCCTTGGGCCACCCCCAGGCTCTCCCTGGCTGAGGTTCCCTTGTGGTGGGCTGGAAGGTAGCTTGCTTCCCCCATCCACCTCCTTCCTTGTCATTCCCCGGCTGCTCTGGCTTCCCTGCCCCACCATGAGGCCCAGTGAGTTCTGGGAGGAAGCAGATTGCAACACCAGGCAGCTGGCAGAGGGAGCTTCAGCCACAATCACTATTTTCAGAGTAGCTTGGGTTCCAGATTTCCTAGCTGCTGCCATTCCACTCCTGCTGCTCTTCCTCCCTCCCATGCCTACTGCTTCCTTGGCTGCAGGGAGCTGACTGAAATCCCAAGCTCCCTAGGACAGGATGTGCCTCGTTTGTGACTCTGGAGCTCCATGAAAAGTGAGGGCCTTTTATAAACATCCAGCAATTAACAATCAGACCCTGAAATGCTTCCCACGAGTAGTTACAGGACCCAAACATCAGCCAAGGCTCATTTGCATCCTGATGCGAAGACGAATACGGTCCTGGGTGCACGTCTGGGGTGTAGTTGTGCGTGCGTGTCCATGCTGGGGTTAAAGGGTGTTGGATTAACTTGGGCTCATTTCTTGTGAAGTTCCCCGCAGCATTTTTTAAAGGGAGGGTGACCATGTGTGCAGCCTTGTGCTACGAGGTCCTGAAGTGCTGCACCTCCAAGCTGGCCTCCACCAGGAACGAGGCATCAGCCCTCTTGTATCTGCTGATGAGGAGCAACTTTGAGTTCACGAAAAGGAAAAGCTTTCTGCGAACACACCTGCAGGTCAGTGAGAGGTGGCCTGCGGTGCATCTCCGGCCTTAATCTCCTGCTTTCCCTCCTGCAAAGACAGGGACTATGACACTGAACTGCAGCCTGGCGATCAAAATATTAACGCCAGGACTCAGCTGTCGTCTGGCATTAGCGATCTCAAAGCACTTTACCAAGGAGGCTGATGTTGTCCCTTTCTATTTGGTCACTGGAGGAAGTAAGGTATGGAACAGGGCAGTGACTTGTCCACGGTTGCGTAACAGGCAGGGCCAGGAATAGCACCCAGAACTCCTAGGCTTTATGGGGATTTATTGACCTCTGTCCTATTCCTCAGGGAGTCTGAGAAGGGAGACTTTTTTTTTCTGTCTTGCAATCCTTATTTGGTTAGAAATCCCACCGGTTCCAGTAACTTCCCTGGGCGTTTGGTCTAAGTCGTGCTTTCAGGATTTGGCCCAGAATCCTTATGGTGAAATACATTTACCATTAAATAGGGATTTTTAGAGGGTGCTTGGAAGGCCCACCTCTTTGTCAAGAGATGGGTAAAGAGAATGGGGGTGGTAGTCTATTTTATTTTTAAGCTTTTAATTATTTGGTCTCAGTGTGAATGCACCGAGAAGGTCCTGGGTATATTCTCTGCAACCTGATTCTGGGACAAGAACCTTGTTATCTTCTGACCAGTTCAACTGGCACGCCTACAACCCAAACTATCCAAATTAATATTTACCATCCTTATATCAGGCCACAGGAATCGGGTGGGAAGAGCCTGCCTGTTTGATTGAGGGAGGAATTCTCCTGGGAGGTTGCTTCTGGCTTCTGTTGTATAGTTTTCAGTAACTGTTAAGAGCACCAGAGTAGCAGATGAGCTTTGAGTTGTTATAAATCACAAAAGAGGGGAATATGATGAAATGTTTGATAAATATGGCTGCCAAATTTGTATTTTGACTGCTCTTGGCCTAAGAGTTTGTTGTTTTAATAAGTGGAATCATACTCATCCGATTGTGGTGGTGTAAACGAGGAAACGAGAGAGGCCTATGATCAAATGTATTCAATCTGTATGAAAGATCTCAAACATCTTCTTATACAGTTGTGATGATAAAGCCCAGGTATGAAACCCTGCCCCTTTTCCCACAGATAATAATTGCAGTGAGCCAGTTAATTGCTGATGTGGCACTCAGTGGAGGATCACGGTTCCAGGAGTCCCTATTCATTATTAATAACTTTGCAAACAGCGACAGGCCTATGAAGGTAAGTTGGATTCATGAAAGCAAATAATAAGTTGTCATGACCCACCACCAAGTACATGGCTTGGGAAATGTAAACAGAGGTCTCATTTAAAACCTGAATGTTGTGGATTTATGTTAATTACTTCTTTTCTAGTCAGAGGAAGCAGGCATTTGGGAGCTCTCCTGGCTGTTTGACTTGCTGTGTTTATTGCAGTTGGTGGGAATGAGAACCGCAGCTGAGCTTACAGCTTTGTGAAGCATCACTCTCTGGGCGGCCGAAGACCTTTCAAAGAAAGGGAGGGAAGAGAGAGCCTGATGTCTCGTGTAATAAAGCCGGCCATTAAAAATAAAAATCTGAGATAGTTGCTCTCAGTAAAAGAGGTTGCAATGGTTATTTTAATTTTGCTTTGCAGTCTGTCTCTTTTGGAAAGCAATTGCATGCCTGTGTGCTAAAGTAGCAGGAATACATTCTGTCTGCTTCATTAAACTTCAAGAGACAATGCTTGCAATCTGGTTACATTTTACAGAATGTAGCTGTCCGTCTAGGAAAGGAAAAGCCGGGGTAAAGGTTCATAAGACCATCATTTTATTTAAAGGCAGGGGAGGAGGAGAACCTCTGTAAAATTTTGCCCTCTGATAGAATGAAACTGACGGTTGGAATTGGTAGATAACAGAGGAAGATCTGTAGTTCTGTTTTGCACAGGAATGTTTCTGCGCATTTGAGGTTCACAGAGTCATGCTTTACTGGCTGTATTTTATACATGTGGACCTTTAAATAATACTTTTCAGGGAAGGGAGTGTGTCTATTAATTTCTAGGTTTTTATGTACATGTTGTACAGTACTATGCTCACTTTTAGTACAATATAAAAAATGAACCACACTAGACAACAAACAACTGAGGCGAGTGTCGATACAAGTGAAAAATACTTCAGGAACTAGTGCAGGCCCAGTTCTGTAGCCCACACTCACGTTAAGAAGCACTTGTGTAATCCACACAGCTGCTGGGTGTAGGTCACTGTCCCATCTAGTGGCACTTAAACTGCTTACACAGGGAGAATGAGTCTCCTCTACAGCCTTATCTGAGAGCCAGCTGGCTTTTAGCTCCTACAGTAGAGACTCATGCATGAAGCTCCAGAGGTCCAAGGTTCCGTTTTGCCTGCATTACACTTGCTCGCGGTACGTAGGCACAGGAAGCGCCACTGAAGTCAATTTGGCTACTGTTTGCATGAGCACACGCTATTCAACTGAAGCAGGAGTGGTAAAATTTGACCCTGAACAAGAGGACTTGCAAACCCCCAAGTGCAACGCACTGTTTGCATAGCAAATGACACTGTAGGATGAATGTATTAAAAGTCCAGTCAATATATCTCCTGTACCTTGTATGTGAAAATTGCTAGTAATTAAACTGCATATTGAGTAACTTGAAAGGCAGAGGTGTCGGACAGAACCTCGAATATCTTTATTTCTGTGTTTGCTTCTAATTAGATTTGTTTTGTGTCAGGCAACTGCTTTCCCCTCAGAAGTGAAAGATTTGACCAAGAGAATCCGTACTGTGCTTATGGCTACCGCTCAAATGAAAGAGCACGAAAAGGACCCTGAAATGTTGGTTGATTTGCAGTACAGCTTGGCCAAGTCCTATGCTAGTACCCCAGAGCTCAGGAAAACGTGGCTGGACAGCATGGCAAAGATCCATGTCAAAAACGGAGATTTTTCAGAGGTAATCAGTCAAAATCAATTGCAAGCAGGTGGTGGAGAGAGGCAGAGATTCCTGCGAACTCCTGTAATAGCTCCTGTTTTGTTTTATTTTACAGGCTGCCATGTGTTACGTCCATGTAGCAGCCCTCGTTGCTGAGTTTCTTCACAGAAAAAGTAAGAGTTTTGGAGAGGAGAATGCTGCTTTTTCTGTTCATCTTTGAGCTTACAAGTCGTCACAATGTTTTCAAGATCAAATTGACCTTTTTTGGTAAAGGGTTGTTTTCAGGATACACCGGGTTTGTCTGAAAAAGTGAACTAAAAGGAAAACTGCAGAATAGGAAGGTACACATCTAAAGGCCAGTCAGTGTTTTCAGACCCAGGACTGACAGCTCCTAATTGCCTCCCCGATATTTTGATCATTCTGTGAGTGTCATTGCGGAGTTCAAAGTCATGTGTTCCTTCGCAGCGCCGTGAAAGAGGAATTGCTTTATGTCCTGTACAACTAGATAAAGAGCCAGTGGTGGCAGAGGACTTTGTGGCTTTGTGCAGAACAGGAAGTGGGGGGCAGACTGGTTGGTTTTAAAATATCACCATTCTGCAAGGGAAAACAAGTTTGTCTTTTGAATAAGTCCCTCCTCCGACAGCGACTGTGTTGCAGTCCAGCGGTCAGCTCCCTCTGACCTTTTCTAAAGGGTGCCATTGAAACGGTAGCTTGAATATCGCTGCCTGCAGTGGATCTGCAAAAACTAGTTAGAATGGAGCAGAGAACAGGGTACCCTGGTTTTCAGTGGTAGTGTGCAAAGCTGATTGACGGCTCCTTATCACCATGCTCTGGGGGCCATAGTCCCTGTCAAAAGTTTTGCAGAGCTCTGGAGGTGTCTGTGGCCAAAACTCTGTGGGTCCTGCCCTTCTGGCAGAGAGTAGTCAGCCTCAGAGGCTCACCGTGCCCCACCACACAGCCTCTCTCCGTACTAGAAGCAGGGGTCACAGCCTGCTGAGCCATCCTCATCACAGGCTAGTCCATAATATGGGCGATGAAACCCCTCTATAGTCCTGGCCTCCTTACCCAGGGACAGACACTGTAGTGGTGTGGGAAGGGTTGGGGGAACCCGGGCTCACCCACTATTCCAGGTTCTGGCCCAGGGACCCTAAGGCAGTGACTATAAACGGGGTTTGTTCTATTCCCCATCTGGCCACTTTCTCCCAGTAACTTTTCTCTGGTACCTGAGCAGCCTCTCCTGCTCCTCCACCGCACTCTGCCTGACTCGCAGTTCTCAGCTCTTACTCAGACTCCTCTCATTCTTGGATCCTTGGCTCCTTCCTTCCTCTGTGCGTGCCCCTGAACTAACAGAAGAAGAGTAACCCTTTTAAACCAGTCTCAACTGGTTCTCGATTGGCCTCAGCCTGTCGTTTAGCCTGTCTCCCTTGGCTATGGAAGGTTCCTAATTGGCTCCAGGTGTCCCAACTGGCCTGATTGTCCTGCCTGATTCTGGAAAGTTCCTGCTGGTTCTAGGCCAGCACTGGCCAGATTACCCAGAGAACAGAGACCTTAATCTAAAGCTCACATACCTCCCTTCAAGAACTCTCCTGTAGCCAGATTGCCTGACCCAGTCACAATGTATTGTGTTCATCAAAAACTCTTCTGGTTATGTATACAAAATGTACAACGTTGCCAATGCATGAGTCATGACAAATCTTGGGTACACTCTGTTCCTGTGACTGGAGAGTAAGGGAGGCTGCAGCCAGCGGAAAAAGAAGAGGAACTGATCCATAGAGTGCATGAGTGAGCAATGCTCCTGGAGAGCTTTGCTTGTCCATCACACACGCAAGGCAACAAAAGCAGAATTACTGATGCTTTTGCGATGTCCAAGGAAGAGTCCTGTTTCAGAATCTCTGCCACTAGGAACTGGCAGCCCTGCACATCTACTCCCTTGTGCGCCAGCGCTGACTGTCACTCAGCATGCACGTTCAGAGCACACGCACACCCTGCGGCTCCTCTCTTCCCCCCGTGCCTTGCCACCCGTTCTGTGGTTCACGACTGACTCTGTGCAGCATGCTGGACACCATTTGGTAGTTGCCAAGTAGGACGTGTGTTCACTGTTTTGTTGTAGAAGAAACCAGGGCTATGGAGGAAGGAGGAGGGTGTTCTTCCAAGAAGTGGGACCCTGCCCAGCTGGAACAGGCTGGAGAAGAAAGGAATTAATTGGATCCAAAGGAAATAGCTCATGTCCATGAGAAGGCACAATCCAGCTGGCCCTGCTGTCAAACAAACCAAGGCAGTTGGAGCAAGCCCGTGTCTCGGCGGATATGTAGACCAATCGTCTCTTAAGCAGTGTGACTGACTCAAGGGGCAATGTGTCCATGCCTGAGTTATTAGTTGCCATTCCCTCCAATTCCTTGCAGCTGCAGAGGGGTCATTTGGAGGCCACACACTAAGGTGCCGATTTATCTGTTTAGACTCTGTTCCTCTCTTTGAGATACAAAGTCAGGGCACCCTTGAGACCTTGCGTGTCCCTTACAGGTTGCAACTGACTACTGAAGTGCTTTTCGACATCAATCTTTTTATTGCAGTAGCAACTAGAGACCACCCCCCGCCCGAGATTGGAGTGCAGTTGTGCCAGGTGCTGGACATGCCCAGACAGTCTGGGCAGGGCCGGCCTTAGGGAAAATTGCACCCCCGGGAGAACTTGTACTGTGGTGCCTCTGATCCCTTCTGGCTCCTAAGGGCTCCTGGGCTTCCACGGCACATCCCCTCTGGGCCTCGCTGCCTCCTCCCATGTTTAATTTGCATTGAAAGAGATGCCAGAGTGAGCCCGGCACAAATTAAGCCATGACAGGGCAGCCTGATACCAGTGTGTGCTGCCCAGGGGCACAGTGCTGAAGGCAATGCCACCGCTGGCAGCAGCGCAGAAGGAAGGATGGCCTGATATATGGCGTATTGTCACCCTTCCTTCTGCGTGGCTGCGGAGGCTTGTGGTGCCTGGTCCGTGCTTCATGGCATGCTTTGCACCGTCTTGCCAGAGCTCCTGGCAACCCCACAGCCTTCTGGCTACTTGGCTCACCAGTGGTGCCACTTCAGATTTTGCGGGGAGGAGAGGGAGGCAAAACTTTAGGTTTGTTTGTTTGTTTGTTTGTTTGCAGATAACTTAGATGCAAGCTCTAGATTTCACCGTACACAACAAATCCACAAACTTATTTCCATCAATAATAATTGAAATGTACAGATAGGGAAAGCAAGAAAAATGCTGCTTAAGAACTTGTCAGACTCTAAATTCAATGATCTAAACGTCTAAACGGGACTTGTTGCAAACGGACTAGTGAACGAAGAATGAAACCAGCAAATTGTGCCTGGCGTTAGGATCTTTCTTTATGTAATAGAGGCTGTGGGCTTTGCTGTTTTGGTGTAGTCATGTTGGTATCGGGATGAGAGCAATAAGGTGGGGGAGGGGGTATTTTTCATTGCTGCAAATGTTGTTGGTGAAAGAGACCAGCTTTGGAATTGGACAGAGCTTGTCTGTGGCACTCAAATGGGCTGACCTTTCACCACCCAAAGTCGGCCCCAAACCAAAAGAGTTCTTACCTCACTGGCCCGCCTTGTCTGTGTTTTAACCGCTTTAAAGCTTGAACTCTGAGTCTCGACTTCTACTGTCATTCAAAAACGATCTGACCTCCCCTTCATAATATCCCATAACTGTGAGAATTAAATATTATAAACTTACAAAAAGCTTTTAAACCAAACAATTTATATTACACTTTAATGTTAGGAAAAATAAAAAGTGCCTTTTCCAAGCCTATGAATAAGCCAGAGCAGCAGGACTGCAGCACGAGGGGTGGGCAGGGGCAGAGCCTAGATCCCCACTAGCGTTCTCTCTCCATGTAAGGAAACTGTAAGTCAGGACAATTGCACATTCTCGGTTCCTCACACCCCCAGCAGGGCCCCCGTGACGTCCAGAGGATGAATGAGGTTTGCAGGAGATGGGAGTAAAGAACGGAGCATAGAAACATGCACAGCAGCTTGGACCAGGCCTCCTGCCCCGAGGAATTTCAGCCTCCTGTTAAGTTCAGCACGGAGCAGGAGCAGTGAGAACAAGCGAGCCTGAGGCCCAGCAGTAGGAATCAGGGACTGAATGAGCGGTCCCGGCAGGCAGGCAGGCAGACAGACAGACAGACACTACCCTTTCCCACTCCTGTTCAGATCCGTGCAGGTGCAGTTTGTTTACCTTGCCTGTCCTGGTCCCAGGCTGCCTCCAGCAAATGGGAGGGGAGCTTGGCAGGCAAGCCTTGGCAGAAAACTAGGGCATGTAATGGGACCTCGAGTATTTCCTACCCCACCCCTCCACATTGTCATCTCTCTGCAGGGGAGGGATGGGATGGGAAGGGAGCAGACAGGTTAGCTGTGCTCAGTGTGCGCTCCAGTGGCAGTGCCAGGAAAGGAGCTAGCTCTTTCCTGGACAAGTGGGGCTCTTAGGGGGCAGGGGAAGAGAAGGGATGTAGACCTGGATCTGCTACACTAACACATACACAGAGAGCAGGGCTGCTCCAAGCCCCCAGCCAGCCAGAACACACAGAAACACCCTGTAAGCAGGGGAGAGGGGAGGGAAATGGGGCATTTTCCCTGGGGCCTAGTGATTCAAAGGGTCTTGGGGCTCTGGCAGCGACAGTGCCCCAAGGCCTGTGCCCTTTAAAGTGCCACCGTGGCACAGGGCGCATCTCTTAGGGCTGCCTGGCTCCAGGCATTGCCCCCTCCACCCCCCGCTGCTGCCGCTGCTCCCAGCAGAGGTGTTATCTGAGTGAGTGCCTTCCAGCGCAGCTTGGCTGTGTGGTTTTGTTCTCTCCCCAGCCCCTGCTGGGCTGGCTGCAGCGCCTCTCCTCCGTAAGCCCAGCTGGCTGGCTGCAGCTAAGGGCACGTGGGACTGTTCAGATGTGCCCCAGTCAGCTCCTCGCCAGGGCTACAGCCCCGGTCGCCCTGGTCAAAGGCTGCCAGTGAGTCTGGGCCCAAAGGGCCCAACAGTTCAAAGGCTGGGAGGTGAAAGTAAGGCACAGAGAGTGGAAGTGACTCCCCCGAATCCCCTGCGTGGCCAGTGGCAGCACTGGAAAGAGAACCTGTGTCTCATGACATGCACACAAGTGCCCTATTTGCAGAACCACAATGCCTCTCACTCCGAGGCATGATGTGTCTTCACGATGCTTAAGTATACGCCCTGCTACCGGCTGGGGGCCGACTGGCTGAGTAGCAGTTTGGCAGAAAAGGACCTGGGGATTATAGTGGATGAGAAGCTGGCTATGAGCCAACAGGGCGCCCTTGTAGCCAAGAAGGCTAATGGCATATTGGGGGGCATTAGGAGGAGCATTGCCAGCAGATCCAAAGTTGTGATTATTCCCCTTTCTTCGGCTCTGGTGGGGCCACCTCTGGAGTATTGGGGCCACTTCTGGGCCCCCCACTACAGAAAGGATGTGGGCGCATTGGAGAGGGTCCAGAGGAGGGCAACCAAAATGATGAGGGGGCTGGAGCACATGGCCTATGAGGAGAGACTGAGAGATTTGGGCTTATTTAGTCTGCAGAAGAGAAGAGTGAGGGGGGATTTGAGAGCAGCCTGCAACGCCCTGAAGGGAGGTTCCTAAGAGGATGGAGAGAGGCTGTTCTCAGTGGTGGCAGAAGACAGAACGAGGAGCAATGGTCTCAAGTTACCATGGGGGAGATCTATGTTGGAGATTAGGAAAAATGATTTCCCCAGAAGGGTGGGGAAGCACTGGGATGGGTTCCCTAGGGAGGGGGTGGAATCTCCATCACTAGAGCATTTATGTCCTGGCTTGACAAAGCCCTGGCTGGGATGATTGAGTTGGGGTTGGGGTTGGTCCTGCCTTGGGCAGGGGTGACTCCTGAAGTCTCTGCCTGCCCTAGGATTGTATATGTCTAAGGCATTGTATATAACAGATAACATGAAAGCAATGGGAATCTGCATTACAGAGCTGTCGTACAGGTAACCATAGCATGGTATTCCATACTCCGCATTAGCCTGTTGAACGGTATTTTAATTTGTTCGTATTTTTCTTCTTGCTGCCCATAGAATTGTTCCCTAGTGGATGCACAGCCTTCAGGAAAATCACGCCCAATACTGACGAAGAGGGAGCAATGAAAGAAGATGCCGGGATGATGGATGTTCACTATAGCGAGGTGGGATTCCCTCAGATTGATTAAGAAAAATGCGTTAAGATTGAGCCAGCCGCCCTGATGTGGCAGAATTGCCATTCTGATGGCTTTCGCGAGGCCTCCTCTCCCCCAGAGAACAGCCTCCCCTTTGTGCTTCATACAGGAGGTCCTGCTGGAGCTGCTGGAGCAATGTGTAGATGGCCTGTGGAAGGCGGAGCGCTACGAAGCCATTTCGGAGGTTTCCAAACTGATCATTCCGATCTATGAGAAGCGCCGGGAGTTTGAGGTAGCTATTTGGAGCTTGCCTTTGTCTTGGTGAGAAGTCCCCAGGCTGCCTGGGAAAGACGTTCTTGATTTGAGAGTGAACAGCAGGTGTGATGGGCTGTTTTATTTCTTCTGTAGACTAGCGACGTCAAATCTCGTTGAATTGGTTAAGTGGTTAACTGCAGAGCTAAGACTTTAACTGACTAAAGGGGGTGCCCCCTGCCCACTGGGGCTGGGCTTGAGCGGCCCCTGCTGCAGCTCCTGGCCCCCACATGGGGGTTGCTGGCTCCCAGCCTGTGCGGGATGGGAGTCAGCAGCACCACGTGTGAGGTCTAGCAGTGCTGAAGCAGCCCTCCATCTGCAGCTAGGCCACAGGCAGGGGGCTGCTCCCAGGTACCAGGTAACCGTTTAACCCGTTATTGTAGACTCTATATTACTGATGAATATTGAACAAAACAAATTAAAGCAAAACTCTAATAGTTCCCATGAGACACCCTCGACACATCAATAGGGGCCCAACTGAGCAAAGATTATAGCTACCATCCACATTACAGACTCCCATAGAACCCCCTGTTTCTGGACGCCCTTAGACTTGGGAACGTGTTGAGGGTTTTTTGAAGCAGATTGTGTCCCTTCCTTTGACACGAGGGGTAATTGGGGCTAAGTGGAACCTAGAGCTACCAGAGCATGAGCTGCCTCTAGGCAAACATTTCCTTCCATTCCCCAATGGATACGTGTCTCTCCCGAGCCTGGATCTTTCTTCCAAGAGGCAATGCAGCCCAATGTGTCCAAGCTTAGCTCAGCAGGACCCCTGTCAGGAAAAATTAGTTGTGCCCTACACAATCGCCTGCTGCAGACCATGGGCCCTAAATGATTAAAAGCAGATAACCAGAAATGACAACTACCGCTGCAGCACATACTGTCTTGCTTAATGCACAGTGGTTGCATGTCTTTATGATAAACCAGCTCGAAGTCCTGTACAGGCATGTTCCAAAATGTGTCATGTCTGGCTGATCCCCAGACTGACAACATGTGAGCTATGCTCCAGCACGCAGTCATGTTTGTTAATTTTCCTCAGAACAGGCACAATACACATAAGAATATAAGAACGGACGTACTGGGTCAGACCAAAGGTCCTTCTAGCCCAGTATCCTGTCTGCCGACAGTGGCCAGCACCAGGTGCCCCAGAGAGGGTGGACCAAAGACAATGATCAAGCGATTTGTCTCCTGCCATCCCTCTCCAGCCTCTGACAAACAGAGGCCAAGGACACCATTTTATCCCCTGGCTAATAGCCTTTTATGGACCTAACCTCCATGAATTTATCCAGCTTCTCTTTAAACTCTATTATAGTCCTAGCCTTCACAGCCTCCTCTGGCAAGGAGTTCCACAGGTTGACTACATGTTGTGTGAAGAACTTTCTTTTATTAGTTTTAAACCTGCTACCCATTCATTTCATTTGGTGTCCTCTAGTTCTTCTATTTTGGGAACTAATAAATAACTTTTCTTTATCGGCCCTCTCCACACCACTCATGATTTTATATACCTCTATCATATCCCCCCTCAGTCGCCTCTTTTCTAAACTGAGAAGTCCCAGTTGCTTTAACCTCTCCTCATATGGGACCCGTGCCAAACCCCTAATCATTTTAGTTGCCCTTTTCTGAACCCTTTCCAAGGCCAAAATATCTTTTTTGAGGTGAGGAGACCACATCTGTACACAGTATTCAAGATGTGGGCATACCATAGTTTTATACAGGGGCAGTAAGATATTCTGGGTCTTATTTTGTATCCCTTTCTTAATAATTCCTAGCATCCTATTTGCCTTTTTGACCGCTGCTGCACACTGTGTGGAAGTTTTCAGAGAACTGTCCACGATAACTCCAAGATCTCTTTCCTGATTTGTCGTAGCCAAATTAGCCCCCATCATACTGTACGTATAGTTGGGGTTATTTTTCCCGATGTGCATTACTTTACACTTATCCACATTAAATTTCATTTGCCATTTTGTTGCCCAATCACTCAGTTTGGTGAGATCTTCTTGGAGTCCCTCACAGTCTGCTTCTGTCTTGACTATCCTAAACAGTTTGGTATCATCTGCAAACTTTACTACCTCACTGCTTACCCCTTTCTCCAGATCATTTATGAATAAGTTGAAAAGGATTGGTCCCAGGACTGACCCTTGGGGGACACCACTAGTTACCCCTCTCCAATCTGAAAATTTACCATTTATTCCTATCCTTTGTTTCCTGTCTTTTAACCAGTTCTCAATCCAAGAAAGGACCTTCCCTCTTATCCCATGGCCATGTAATTTACACAAGAGCTTTGGTGAGGGACCTTGTCAAAGGCTTTCTGAAAATCCAAGTATACTATATCTACTGGATCCCCTTTATCCGCATGCTTGTTATCCCCTTCAAAGAACTCTAATAGATTAGTAAGACAGGATTTCCCTTTACAGAAACCATGTTGACTTTTGTCCAACAAATTATGTTCTTCTACATGCTTCACAATTTTATTCTTTACTATTGTTTCAACTAATTTGCCCGGTACTGAAGTTAGACTTACCGGTCTGTAATTGCCAGGATCGCCTCTAGAGCCCTTTTTAAATATTGGTGTCACGTTGGCTACCTTCCAGTCATCAGGTACGGAAGCCGATTTAAAGGATAGGTTACAAACCACAGATAAGAGCTCAGCAATTTCCCATTTTAGTTCTTTTAGAACCCACATGCCTCTGGCTTTTACCAGAGATGGCTGGTGTTTTTCTGTACCCGAAGGGCCGCAGGCTGTCCTTGGAGGAGCCAGCTGGCCTTACTGAGAGCGTGCCTGCGTGGCTGCAGACTGAATTCGGTTCTATGTGTGAGTAACCTCACAGGGGACGTTCAGGGATAGCTTTCCATTCCAAGGACTTTAGGAAAGTTGGAGTGAAAGTGCATTGCAGTATGTCAAAAAAGTGTTTCTCGGGGGGACTTCAGAGCTTTGCTTCATAGGATTTGAAGTGGATCCATTTTCTGCTTTTCCTGAACGTTTCTACGATATTTTGTCACCACTTTCATACCAGAATTTGTACTGAATTCTTGTATAGGAATTGTTAGAACATAAGAACAGTCAGACCAAAGGTCCATCTAGCTCAGTGTCCTGTCTGCAAACAGTGGCCAATGCCAGATGCCCCAGAGGGAGTGAACAGAACAAGGAATCATCAAGTGATCCCTCTTCTGTCACCCATTTCCAGCCTCTGACAAACAGAGACTAGGGACACCATCCCTACCCATTCTGGCTAATAAGTATTGATTGATCTAATTTCCATGAATTGATCTAGTTCTGTTTTGAATGCTGTTAAAGTCCTGGTCTTCACAACATCCTCTGGCAAGGAGTTCCACAAGTTAACTGTGCTCTGTGTGAAGAAAAATTTTCCTTTGTTTGTTTTAAATCTGCTGTCAATTACTTTCATTTGGTGACCCCTAGTTTTTATATTATGGGAACAAGTAAGTAACTTTTCCTTACTCACTTTCTCTATACTTGTCATGATTTTATAGATCTTTAGCATATGCCTCCTTAGTCTCCTCTTTTCTAAGCTGAAAAGTCCATCTTTTTAATCCTTCTTCATATGGGGCCCATTCCAAACCCCTAATCATTTGTGTTGCCCTTTTCTGAATCTTTTCCAAAGGCAATATATCTTTTTTGAAATGAGGCAGCCACATCTGTACGCAATATTTAAGACGTGGGGGTGTGGCGTATGCGTGACCGTGCCCCCGGGTGCGCGAGTGGCCCCGCCCTCTGGTGCCCGGCAGGCGAACAGCCACGCCCCCTGGCGCCCGGCAGCTTCAAATGGTTGGGGACCACTGGTTTAAACTATCTTGAGCAGTTTAGTATCATCTGCAAATTTTGCCACCTCACTGTTTACCCCTTTCTCCAGATCATTTATAAATAGGTTGAACAGGACTGGTCCTAGTATGGATCCTTGGGGAACACCACTAGTTATATCTCTCCATTCTGAAAACTGACCATTTATTCCTACCCTGTGTTTCCTGTCTTTTAAGCAGTTCTCAGTCCATGAGAGTACCTTCCCTCTTATCCCATGGCAACTTACTTTACTTGGTTTTTGTTTCCTGGAATCCTGATCTTGGACAAATAAAAATGTTGGACAAAGATTTTGAATATTATTTCAATAAATATTCTGATTTAAAACATCACCAAAACTTTCAGGAAAAACAGAGTGTTTCAAATATGTCAAAAAGTTCAGTTTTTAGAAAAAGGTCAGTTTTCACCAGAAAAATTTGGAGCGGGAAGTATTTTAAGCAGCTCCTCTTTCACAAGATGTCCTGCAATGAATGGTCTGAGCTCTGAACCCAGCAAGGCATTTAGCAGTGTGCTAAAATTTACCAAGAGTAATCCCATGAACGGGACTATGCTTGTGCTTAATGTTAAGCATGTGCTTAAGTTGTGCATTTTCTAAGGTGCCTCTGTGCTTTGCTGCATTGGATCAGCCCTGAGACCCTTTTCATGTGATTTTACCTGAGTAATGTTGAGACACACCTGGCTTTTTTCTGCTTTCTAGAAACTTACTCAGCTGTACAGAACACTTCATGGAGCTTACACTAAAATACTGGAGGTGATGCACACGAGAAAAAGACTTCTAGGAACCTTTTTCCGAGTGGCCTTTTATGGACAAGTAAGTACATAGATCATCAGCCTGTCAACTAACCTGCCCCAATACTCTCTCTTTGCAAAGTCATCTCATCCAAGAAGCATTCTAGTTGCCTTCACTACTGGTTGCTTTGAGATGGTTCTGCATTTTGCGCTCTCGTGCTCTTTTATATAGTTAATTCTTCAGTACAGGGCATCTGTGCCTTGTTAGTGTGTTATTACAGAGCTTTATGACAGTGGCTGGGGTCCTCAAACACAGCTGGCTCATTTACACTACAAGTCCCATTGATTTTTTTTTTTAACTGAGATTTCACCTCTGAAGTGATTTAGAAATGTTGGAAAATCCCACCCTCTAAAAGTATTACTGCAATAAGATAAAGTTTTAAATCACTTTGGACTACTCAAGCAATACCGAACCAACAGCAACCAGGTATCTTTCCCTCTGCTGAAAATCATTGACTTTTCCAGGTATTAACACTGGTCTGTTCTGGGGCAAGGTCGGCTGAAAACCAGATGGCACAAAATGACCCAGTGTTGTTGCAGGTTTGACATACTCAGGCAGGGGCTGCCTGCAATGCATATAGTCTGATGTCTCTCCCATTGGACTTCTATAAAACAAAGGACAAAATCCCTTTTAATAAAATGGGCTTTAATTTTCTATACACTGGGATCATTCTAACTCAGGCATGTCCAAAGTCCGGCCCGGGGGCCAATTGCGGCCCGTGTTCCGGTTTAATACGGCCCCACGGGTAATTTGGCAATATCTATCTTTTATGGCCCCCAACGAATCCATATGTATTGAGATGAATACATTGTAAAATCTCAGTTAAAGTCAGTTGGTCTAAATCAGTTATAAATATATTTGGACACAACATGTATACTTGGTGTTATGTTCCTGTTCATATTTTTTGAACTTAAAAGTTGACAGACAACCTTTATTACCAATAATATGTAATGTACTTTACAATGTTCCTGACATATATTTCAGCTTCCTGGATTTTTTTTTTCATCTGGCCTTCAGATATGAAAGGCAGAGTGATTTAACACCTGTTTAGATTTGTCATCCATGTGACGAAATGAAAAGTATGCCGTTTGCAATAAACTTTGCATAAAATAGTTAATTTGCATTTAATTTTAATGGTTCAAAGAATGTCAGGCAAAATGGTCGGCCCTCACGCATGTTCACTTCATCAAATCTGGCCCTCTTTGAAAAAAGTTTGGGCACCCCTGTTCTAACTGCACTTACAGCGATGACACTAAATGATGCTCAGCTTTATTCCCAGCACAGAGTCCAGATTTTCACTGTGAAAGTGTCACAGCTTTGTAGTGATCATGTCACAGGTGCTCTCTTACCAAATAGCCCTATCTTATCGGAGCAGGGTTTTAAAAAAACATTTTTAAATGAACTTTGTAAAATAAAATGTTTAATGACCCGAAATCTCTCCATTCACCACCTACATCTTTCTGATCAATGCTAGACTTTCTTTGAAGAGGAGGATGGCAAGGAATACATCTACAAGGAACCCAAGCTGACTGGCCTTTCAGAGATATCCCTGAGGCTTCTTAAACTTTATGGAGAAAAATTCGGAGCAGAGAATGTCAAAATGATCCAGGATTCCAATAAGGTGGAGTTAAACGGCCTGTGGTATCGCTGAGTCTGATGGCTCTGCTAAATGCTTTGAAGAGTGAGCGCTAGGCTGCAGAGCAGATAGAAGGAATGGTAGGACTGTCAGAAGCGAAGGAGATCGAAGCTACCTTGTCCTCCTCATTCCTATAGACCCCCCCACCCCATGCAAACATCACAGCTGGGGCCCTGTGAGGTTGGAGGGAGGCAGGTCTCAGATCAGACAGAGATGGATCTGGAGGGCTTCAGGGGACATGATCTACACCCTCTCCACACTGAGCCACACAGCCAGAGGCAGGGATCCGCACGGAAGGACTGATGCCCATATAGCCGGGGACAGAGTTGGCTGTGACTCCTCAGCACCTGCCCATCAGGGCTGAAATGCCCCTTGCCCCTTTTGCAAACTCTTCCCTTTTATTAGGACAGTGCCTTGGGATTCCCCGCATCCCTGGGCCTGCTTGTTCTGCTCAGATCGAGCGCCCCTCTGGCAGTAGAGTGTGATTCTCGCTGGGCGTAACCCCGAGAGTGTTCGGAACATGTGGACTTGCTTTGAAATTCTGTTACCATCATGGACTGTGACTGTGTCTTTATAGCACTGCGTGGCGGGGGTAAAGGTGCTGTGGGAGCAGCTCGTTGCATAAGCAACCTGATGCTATCTGGCAGAAGTCCAAAGAAATTCCTGTGGGTGATAATCAGCCAAGGCAGCAGGGCCATGTTATTTCAACCCTTGAAATAATGTGCAAATGGGACTACAGTGTTGTCTAGGCCTCGGGCTGGTCTTCTGCCTGGGGTAAATGAACCCCTGATGGATAAATACATGAACATCTAAACTAGTCAGTCATATAGTTTGTGCCTCTTTCCTGCTCTAGTATCTAACTCTCTCCTCACATAGGTAAATGTCAAAGATCTCGATCCCAAATATGCTCATATTCAAGTGACGTACGTGAAGCCTTACTTTGAAGACAAAGAGCTCTCTGAAAGAAAGACTGAGTTTGAAAGAAACCACAACATTGGCAAATTTGTGTTTGAAACTCCTTATACCTTATCTGGGAAAAAACATGGCTGTGTGGAAGAGCAGTGCAAAAAACGGACTGTTTTAACTAGTGAGTACAATCTTCTAAATAGTAGGGAATAGGAATCGGCAAATATTGTTTTAACATTCAAATCACAGCTGAGTAACCGCCAAAAATGGCAGGAATGTCCCCTATCTCTCACTCAGACCCATGCAGACGTGTTCATTTTGCTATGTTACATTTTATTTCCATGTTTAAAGTGTCTGCTAATTATAGCATTAAACCCTGGCTCTCTCGTTGCTCTAGGGGAATTCTGTTCTTCTGTGTGGTAAACCCTGGCTCTCTCGTTGCTCTAGGGGAATTCTGTGCTACTGTGGGGGCGCAGAATTCATGTCGCCCACAGATTTCTTTGCTTCCCCGCAGAAAAAATTACCTTCTGCTGGGGAAGCAAAGGGAAGCCGTTAGAATGGTCACATGCTCCTCCCCAGGAGTGTGGGCGCTTCCTTGCAAGCTCCCAGAGCAGCTGGCACAGAGAGGTAAATCACTGCAGGGGCAGAGGGCTGGGGACGCCACAGCCAGTGCTGTCAGACCCACCTGGGCCTGGGTCAGACTCACTCCGCACATCCACCCAACCCCCATAAGTCTATGTCCGGCCCATTGAGCCTCGACCCCACCAGATCCAGAATTCTGTTACCAAGCCCCCGGTACCCAGGCTCCCACTCTCCAAGCCCCCCACCCATGCACCCGGTTCTCTCCCATCTCACTGGGGCTGGGGACACCCTGGCTGGGTAGCTCCTTTTCTGTGCCAGGCTCAGCTGCTCGCCTCTGCTGGGCTGCGGGTGGGGGAGGAGTGCATTTCCCTTGCACAGAGCATCTGGGGACTGGAAGAGCTGCTCACCTGTCCTCCTAACGCCCCTATATCCAGAATACTTATACCCAGAACCCTCCCCCCACCGAGCCTCACTCCCCACACCTAGAACCTGTGTTCCCTGTAAGTTGGGTGCTTCTGCAGCCACTCACGAGAGATTCCTATGCCTAGCCCATTAGCAGAGGGCCCACAGCTAGGTTTTCATTTCTACTGCTGGTGCACAGCCGCACAAGCCTTGGTGCACATAACAAAATGTATTCCACACATGGATGGAAAAGATTAGTGGGAACATTACCTAGAATCCTAAGCCCCCGCCTGCCAAGTCCCTCCCCCTGCATGCAACCTCCTACCCCTCTAGTCAGAACATCCCCAGCATCCAGCCTCCCCACCACTGCACCCAGACTGCCCCCACACTCAACTCCCCGTCTCAGTGTACTTCCTGTGCACCCAAATGACCCCAGTGAACCATCTGCAGATGGATCCCCCCCATCCCTCTGAGCTCCACACCCCCAGCACCTGGACCTAGGACCCTGTGCATTGCATCCAGACCCTCCTGCATTTGTACCCCCACTGAGCCACCCATACCCAGACTGCCCCACACAGAACCCTCTCACCCTACATCTGGCTCCCTATCCAAGCCTCTCCACCGTGGGGCCTTGCTGGGCTGAGCCTGCCTGCCCCACACCTGGCGCAAAGGGGCAGGTCCCCGGGGTGTTTCTGGGACAGGCCGAGCCCTTGCCCTGTGTCAGACTCAGGTGCAGCCTCACTGCCGAGTCCTTGCCCTGGGAGTGGAGGGATCTGCAGGGTGGTCTCCATCTCCATGCAGCCACTGGCCTGTGCTCCCCACTGCCAGGCTGGAGCCTCCCCGTTTATTTTTTCACAAACAAAATGTGCAGAAGTTTAAAGTACTGTGCGCGGAATGTGTATTTTGCTGTGTGTGCAGAATTCCCTCGGGAGTCTCCAATACGAGGACGTGGGCCAGTCTCCATACTGTGTTAGATCTGATTTATTCAACCTCCGCCCTCCGGCCCCTCTTGCTTGTGACCGTGGCATGTCTAAACACCATGGACAGGCCTGCCGACTGGGGGCAGAGAAGGCCCAAAGGGAGCAATAGTTCCGGTCCCTGGCGATTCAAAGCTGCTACCATTGTAGCAGTGCCTGGCGCCCCGGGCCCTTTAAATTGCTGCCAGAGTGCCATGCCACACGCTCTGGGTGGCTCGGAGGACTGGATGGGGGGCAGCAGTGCACTCCTCTCCTGACTCCTCTCGAAACTCGGTGGTAAAACAATCGCTCACTTCAGCACAGCCCGGAAAGCTCGCTGAGGTTCCCAGGGCAGGGACCTGTTCCAGGAGCCCTTGGGAGAGGGGTCTATGGAGAAGACCTTTCAGACCGTCCATTCTCTTTGATATGTTTAACAGCTTCAAACTTGTTTCCCTACGTGAAGAAGAGAATTCCGGTAAATTACGAACAGCAAGTTAATCTCAAGCCAATCGATGTGGCTACTGACGAGATCAAAGACAAGACAGCAGAGCTGCAGAAGCTCTGCTCTTCCAATGAGGTGGACATGATCCAGCTACAGCTCAAGCTGCAGGGCTGCGTTTCTGTACAGGTAAGGCCCGTCAGGAGCATAGCCGGGGTTTGTGCACCTCTTGAAACATTACTGCTGAGCAGCGTATTTACTTTCCAGAAATCATTAACTAGCTCCCTGGAGCGCGGCAGGCCAGCCCCTGCCAGCAACCCTGAGTGCTTTCCAGGTAAGCCAATGGGACTACTCAGGGGAGGACACACCATGCTCAGGTGCTGGTTACATTTAACGGCTTTGATCTGGAAGTGGCAGACAGAAACAGCTTCACGAATCCTAACTTGTCCCCAGTCTCGGACACAGCCTTTGAGTCTTGAGTGGGCAAGAGGTCATGCACCAACATGGAAATGAAGGAATGTTTGTTTCCTCATTTATCTTTTTGTATGTAAAGATCATAAATTGAAAAAGGAAAGGCTAGCACAACCCTTAAAGCAAACTGTTGTAGCTGCTTCACTCACAGAATGCAAAATATGAATGTACAGTGATGGCTGTAATGGCAAACTCTGCATACATTTTTATAATACGATAGTTTTATTGGTGCTTTTCTCCTCTGAAAGTGATTTTTAATAAAGGAAGCAGCAATCAGAATTATGTCCAGTGTGTGTAATCTAATGAGACTGTCAATGTGAAATAACAGCAAAATAATGGAATGAGATGACGCAGACAACGAATATTGATTCTAATATTAATGCAGCGTGAGCTCACTCATTTTTAGCTTACAGAGTGTATGTTTCTCCCTGTCTATATGATAAAATACATGATATTGGCCCAAATAGCCATATGAAATGCAAAACAGCTAGGGCCTCTTTCATGCACATGATATGGGACTTCAGGATGATAATAATGAAAAACTTTGAAAAACTTCCTGTAACAAATAAAACAAGTATTAGCAAGAGGTTGAAGAGACCTGAAACGTGTATATTGGGAGCTGGCAGGAGCGGCCCAAGGCGGGCTGCTGCAGCTGGTGCCCCAGGTGGAACATTCGATTGGCGCCCCCACCTGCATGGCCGTCAATGGAATGACATCATCGGGTGCCCCGGGCACCCCGTAACATCATCATCAGGCGCCCTGTTGAAGGCAGCACCCTAGGTGACAGCCGAGTTGGCCTATAGTCACAGATTCAAACCAGAAATATATATAATATAATGTCTTTAAACAATTTCGTGGGAAGGGAAGGAAATGTTAATCACAACATTCAGTTGTTTATTCTGCAATAAGATATATTTGTCAAGACTATCATCATAATGTCTTATTGTAAATGACTTTGAATATCAGGAAATAAAATTTTTCCACCCCCCCATTTTTAACTACAGGTGTCTTCTGTTATATAATCAGTAGTGTAGCATTGCTACCCCGTACAGAAATACACATCCTGTGGCATGAAGTAATATCATAATATTACCAGGAAAGCAAACTCATTACCCTCTGAAATTAGCCAAAAAGCTGTAGCATGCATGAGTTTTTATATTTTGGGTTTTAGGTAAATGCTGGTCCGCTGGCCTATGCGAGAGCTTTCCTGAATGACAGTCAGTCCAACAAATATTCCTCCAAGAAGGTGAATGAGCTAAAAGAAATGTTCAGGTGGGTTCCTAGTGGATTGAATTGGCCTGCTGGCCACAATGGAACATATGATTTGTCTTACCGTTTTCATGATCCAAGTTAAGATTGGAAACACAAATTCCAGGGTTTGGCAGAGACCATCTCATTTGGAAGGAGAGCAGTTTCCCCTTTCCTGGCCCAAAAGGATTCTCCTCATGACGACGTTATACTGAGAGCATCTTGCCACCTCCTAACCCTGAGACCACACCCATTACCGTGTGACCTCTTTGGTTTTTATGCTCCCCCATCATAGGTCTGTCTGTCTCCATCTCTTTGTTTCTAGTATTACATGATAAGCTCTTTGGGGCAGGGACTCTCTCTTCCTTCTGGGTTTATACAGCACCTAGCAGAATTTTTGCTTCCTTCTGGGTTTATACAGCACCTAGCAGAATGGGACCCTGTTTGTGACCAGGGCTCCTTGGTGCTACAATAATACAAACACTAATAAGTACACCAACAGTTGCTGCATGCCAATGCTGGTTCTGTTTTTAAAGCTAGAGCGTTCCTGAGCAGTCAGGTGCTCAGTCTCAACACTTATCTGACACTGGGTAAGGCCAGCTGAGAACCAAAGCCTTGGTGTGTTTGTGCATTTTTTAAAAAATTGGGCTTCATTTCCCAAACTTTCAAGAGAGATTTCTCTAGGGGGACTGCCCAACTAGAAAGAACTTTAAAATATTTAAATAAATCCATGGACTTCCACGTGGGTCCATCACTCTTGCTTCCATGGCTAATTTTCCAAAGTGTTTGAATTTGAACTAGAATTTGACTTGGACCTGCCTCACTCTGCAGTCTTAGAATTGTGCCCAATTCTTTGCCTCCCAAGAGGTAACTAAAGCCACTAAACAGCTAACTTCCCATCCTCCTTCTGGTAAGGGCCAGTGTAGTTTTCTCCCACTTTTGTGTCTCCCTCCTCCTTTCTTCCAGTCTGCCTTTAGTAGCCAGAATTCCTCCTTGAGCAACAAGACAGGCTCAAACTGCTCACCTGCCGCTGCTGTCCCCTTCATTGGGTGCAGCTGCCTGCCACTCCGCACAGCTGGCCGGCAATGGGGAAGGGGGCAGGCTGTCGACACTTCTTTCCTATCCCCTTTGGGGCACTGGGCATGCCAGGGAAGGAGTGCGGGATCAGCCCCTTCAGCTCTGCCGGGCACTTACGCTGGCCATGAAAGAAAAAGGGAAGATATCTCATACTCCCAGCCCTGCTGCACGGTCTGGAGGTCCCAGCAGACTCTCTCCCTTTCACAATAACAGCCCTTGAAAGTCAGACGCACATGGTTATAATTTCACCACCACCTCAGACAGAGGGAGAAGTGGGTCTGCGAAAGAGAGAACTTAATCCCAGAGTGATAGTAAGAGCCAAGAACAGAACAGAAACATTCTGTTCAGTGCCTCCAAAGAATCACCAGTGGGTTGGGTTCTTGGATTAGCTGGTGCCTTTTGTTTGCCCATGGAGCAAATTGTAAACATATATAGCTGTGTTTTTTTGGCCCAAATCTGAATGGGAAATAATAATGCTCAGTGTCTATTTCTTTTATCTCCAGAAAGTTTATTCAGGCCTGTGGACTTGCTCTGGAGCTCAACGAGCAGCTCATTAAAGAGGACCAAATAGAGTACCATGAAGGGCTAAAATCAAACTTCAGAGACATGGTGAAAGAGCTTTCTGACATCCTCCACGAACAGGCATGTATTAAAGAGACTCCAAAAACTATGCTGCACTATTATCTATAGCTTTGGAGCACAAGGTAGTGAAATCACATTCTGTAGGCAACTTAGCGATAGAAAGGTAAGTCATCAGATTTGAATGATAGCTTCAGTGGAGAGACTCGCTTCCGTCTTTCCACCCAACAGCCAGCTCCAGGTTCTCTGGTTGGTGGAAATTGTGATAATACCCAACTCGACCCATTTCTGAAGACACTGTATCATCTATGCAAGACCTTTTTTCCACGAATGCAGTGGTGCCAAACACAGGAAACATAAAACAACTATATAGATATAGATTCAAGAAAATGTTGAAAAAACAATGTCTTTTTTTTAATTCTACTTTAACACAAGGATGCATTGCTTACATAAAAAAGGACATTGATCTTGGGCAATCATAAGGAAGTTATCCTTGATGTGTAGGACTGAAAATCTTTATTCATCCAAGTCAGCTCCATCTAGGGCATCAATGCTAGGCCTATTGTTATCCTGATCCTCGTCCACATCACACTTGGACTCCTTTGTACAGGGAAGGCAACTGGCCAAACATTTGCATGTTGGTGAGCACCTGGTCTTTGCACATGAGCATTTGATTAGCTGAAGGATTGATTCAGGAGCGGCTGGTATCTCATACTTGCCTAGTGTGATCAGTCCATCTTCTGACACCTCTTCATGCTTGAAAGGAGATGATAGTTTTGGGTATGTTCAGGCATCCTGGAGCGATTCCATTGGTTGATCATTTGCCCTCTAGACAGCACCCCTTGGTGTCACAATTGCATAGAGCACTAGAACATCTGAGTCTTGCTGCAAAAATCTGGAGTTCCCTTGCACTTCTCTTTGTGGCACTGATGGCATGCAAGATAATTTTAGTATCAGTCTCTTCATAAGAGCTATGAAGAAAAGTCACTGAGCAGTGCAAGGCAACAGCTTCATAATGCCATATCTCTCATGTTGAAACTGTGCATAACAAATGCCGTTTGGCTCACCACAGAAGAAGCAGGTGTTCTTCTCTAAATATATGCCATGGGACTTAGTATAAAGCAAATCTCGCCCACAACTGGCATTTGTCTCATCAGTTTTGCTGTCGCTCAGCGTACCTTCTCTCCAACCTTGCCACGTTCAGTTTATGTGCATTTCTTATAGCCTATATGATGCCACAAGAGTTATGTTTAACTGGGTCCTCAGTGGGGGGGAATCCTCCAAAGATGCGACACTGATCGGTACTCTGTCCCCCTATTGATGTCTAAAAATGATCTAGACTAAAGTAAACACAGTAATTTGTGTACGTAATGCACGTTCTATACGTTGCTGTACAACTATCTGTTTGTGGATAGATTCTGACTTTTCAATCGGTGCCTCATTGCAACTCTTCTGGCACAATAAACCAAGCTGATAATCAATATCACTGAGCTGCTGCTTTTTTGCCAATGACGTCAAATCAGCTTGAGGACCTCCTTTCATTTACATTGACCTGGAATGTTAAAAAGTGATTCAGGTGTCATGTTCTGAGCATTAGCTATTAACACATCCTGTCAATTGGGGGCCATTGAGAGACGGTAGGAGGGCTGCATGTTTCCTATGCTTGCAGTGAAGTAGAGTTACAAAAACATTACTTTTTTTTTTTTTAAAGCATTTGGTACCATTGTGTTAATGGCAGAAAGGGCCTTTTAATTAGATCCATTTCTGATGACATTGTATTACCAAAATTCACACCAGCCAGAGGACATCGAGTTGGATGTGGGGGGAGCAAGTCCCCCCTGCCATGCTGTAGAGGGTGACACCTTTGAAATTATGAATCTGTAGATTTTTACAATTCAAATTACACCTCCCTATCATTAATTTGTCCACATAATTGCACATGTTCCCAGTCTGCCCCCCAACATGCATGTGGCAAGGACTTCACTGGATTGTTTTTCTTTGTGATTGAAAACAGGCTCAAATTTTCCTTTCATTATTTAACTGCATTATAAAAACCCATGTGCCTGAGTATGGAAATGTGGACGATCCAGTAGGTAGAGCTCTACCCTGTGAGTTTGTACTGAGCATGTGCCTTATTGTGGAGTTGTAGCAGACTGCTTCTGGGTACTACAGGCAGTCCCCGGGTTACGTACAAGATAGAGACTGTAGGTTGGTTCTTAAGTTGAATCTGTATGTAAGTCGGAACTGGCCTCCAGATTCAGCCGCTGTTGAAACTGATCAGTTTCAACAGTAGGTAGAGCTCTACCCTGTGAGTTTGTACTGAGCATGTGCCTTATTGTGGAGTTGTAGCAGACTGCTTCTGGGTACTACAGGCAGTCCCCGGGTTACGTACAAGATAGAGACTGTAGGTTGGTTCTTAAGTTGAATCTGTATGTAAGTCGGAACTGGCCTCCAGATTCAGCCGCTGTTGAAACTGATCAGTTTCAACAGCGGCTGAATCTGGACTCCAGTTCTGACTTACATACAGATTCAACTTAAGAACAAACCTACAGTCCCTATCTTGTACATAACCCGGGGACTGCCTGTATATGAAAAGTCCCTTCTCAGCTGGCCACGGAAATGCCTAGGGAGTGTATTTGTCAGTACAGCTTTCCAGACTAGGTTACTGAATTGTAGTTATGACATGACAAATACTAATCTATACATTTCACTTACTTTGACAGTGAGGGAAAAAAATCTATTTTCTTTAGAAAATAAAATTATTGTAATAATTGATATATCTTTCTTTAAAAGCTAACATCTGTGAAAGTCAACTTTACACATAGCACAAGTCATGAAGATGTCAACAGTTTCCAACGCAGATCAGCACAATCCTTTATCTTAATTTCCATCATCCGCAGTTACGAACGGGGCCCTTCCTCTCCCTGGTCTCCAGCAGACCAGGGAGAGGAAGCAAAGCGGCGGAACACACGGGCAGCGGACAGGGCTGTCCGCTGCCCATGCGCTCCGCGGCTTGGCTCTGCTTTGCCCCCCGTCCCCCTGGTCTGCAGACCAGGGGGACGGGGGGCAAAGCAGAGCCAAGCCGCGGAGCGCATGGGCAGCGGACAGCCCTGTCCGCTGCCCGTGTGTTCCGCCGCTTTGCTTCCTCTCCCTGGTCTGCTGGAGACCAGGGAGAGGAAGGGCCCCGTTCGTAACTGCGGATCTGACGTAAGTCGGATCCACGTAACTTGGGGACTGCCTGTATCTTCACAGATGCAAACAGCTAGGGTACTGACCATGTATAGTCATGAGAAACTTTGGTAGTTTTGGCAAGAGTAAAGTAATAAGCCTTGGTTTGCTGATAACTTCATTAGTTACATCTTGCCTATATACATTCCTTTCCTATCTTTCTAATTAATGTTCCCTGCTTCTTGGCCCAAACAGCTATGTTATGGTCTGCACTGTTAAACTGCATGTATAAAAACCCAGAAGGGAAAGAAATGGTTGTGATACCAGTAGATCCACATGCACCGTAAACACACTTGGGGACTCTTTTGGTTGAAAGATGTTGTATTGATGTACAGTTAATAAAAGCATAGTGTTAACAGTGCAGAAAAATAACATGTACCCACCCATCCGTTAGCATGTGCAGCGGGTTCACTCACTTTCCACACGGCTTCTTCCCTCAGGGTGGCTTGTGGGGAAGTAACCAGCTGCTCTGACGCCAACGTGCCCCCTTTGGGTGAGGTGTTCTCTTCAGGGCACTAAACTAAGTAGTGTTTGTAATTTCTGATTAAACAAGATGTTCTTGGAATTTCCTAGTTATGTTTACACAAAGCAATTGCATCTCTGTCAATTTAGAATACTATATATAGTTCGACCTGAACCTGTGAAATCAAAATTATTTTATCTTAAAATAACTGAGGGTATGTCTACACTACCCCCCCTAGTTCGAACTAGGGGGGGTAATGTAGTCATACGGAGTTGCAAATGAAGCCCGGGATTTGAATTTCCCGGGCTTCATTTGCATAAAGCCGGCCGGCGCCGTTTTTAAATGCCGGCTAGGTTGGACCCTGTGCCGCGCGGCTACATGCGGCACAGACTAGCTAGTTTGGATTAGGCTTCCTAATCCGAACTAGCTGTACACCTCATTCCACGAGGAAGCCTAATCCGAACTAGCTAGTCCGTGCCGCATGTAGCCGCGCGGCACGGGGTCCGACCTAGCCGGCATTTAAAAACGGCGCTGGCCGGCTTTATGCAAATGAAGCCCGGGAAATTCAAATCCCGGGCTTCATTTGCAACTCCGTATGACTACATTACCCCCCCTAGTTCGAACAAGGGAGGTAGTGTAGACATACCCTGAGGCTCTGCACACAATACATAATGATTTTTGTTAAACAGTTCCACTCACTTGTATTATAACCCTACCATTTTACTGTCACTGTCAGTTCTCTTGTAAAATATTTCATTCAGTTCAGTGGTAGCACAAACAGTTGTGTAAACTGTTAGGGGAAGGCAGGTAATGGAAAAAGGATAACTTGTATCCATTTGGCATTTGCAAATGAAGTGCAATTTACACCAGTATGGTGTCTTGGGAAGCCAAATAGAACTTGGATATAAGTGACTGTAACTTTGGTTCAGGTAAAGGAGACCTTCCCTCTCTTGTGCTAGGACCAAATTTGGCCCTGGCAGTGTTGGGGATGAGGAAAGCATGTGGGGAGGGAGAAAGCTGGTGTCTGCTTTATCTTACACCTTCTTGTAGTTGCTTTTTCTGCTACCTGCCCCCTGCTGCATTTTTTCTACCTATTACCAGCTTAACCCTATTTACTTTACTTCTGCACTTTGCCCAGAAATGTCCATAGGAGTTACACCTGCTTACTTCCGTCGTTTTGCAAGTAAACCTGACCTAGCCATTTAATTTACCTGCAGCTGCCAGAATCTGAGGGTTTTTACATTTTGCAGTATTCAAATTGAAACCAAATTAGCCAGTACCGCACCTTAGCTCTTAGAACAGAGGTGCATGGTTTATATACTCCCTATTATCTGTACACATTTAAAAATCTACCATCTTGTTGACTGATGAATGGGGTAACAATGCATTATCTGCTGTTTTCAGGTTACATGCTAACTAAGAATATTACACTTTTCAGTAATGAAGTTTCCACATTTTGCATTGTATAGAATGAATGGCTCAAGGTGTCACATACAGAGTTGATCTTCACGTATTACTTATTACATGTAGATAATAGTTGACTTTGAACCTTTTATCTATTTAAATGTCTTTACCAGTTTTACCGTAATGAAGCTCTTCTGAAAACTTCCTCAGTTAAACACAGAGGAAGAAATTGGGTTGGTTCAGAGGCCCAATTTAATTTTTTTTTTTAAATGGTTGCTCTAGATTTTTAAAAAATCAACCTACAGACAAATATTGCATCCTATTTTGATGTAGGAGGGAGAAGGGCAGCCCATTAGGTGTCCCCTGAGGCCTGCTTTCAGATCACTTGAGAGAGGAAAGGAACACTCCAAGAGGGTAAGCTAGAAGAGAAAGGCAGAAGTAGACGGAGACCTGCAATTGGAAGGACACAGGAATCCAATGAGAGAAGCAGAATGCTAGATGTCCCCAGAAGGCCAGATTCTGAGCCTGGCTCCATCAGTGTGTAACCCCAGAGTAATTCCTTTGGTTTGCCAGTGCTCCTTAGCATGTACACCGAGGCTATAGGGTATACATTATAGGGTTTTTCCAGGATACTGGTATCCTGGAAAAACTCTGCAGAGTCCAGGGAACATGTCTGCTCTTTCGCAAGCCCTGTCTTCCTCCTCCCACTGGGAAGAAGGGCTCTTCTGAAAGAGGAGGCTTTTCTGAAATTTGGCCCAGTGTAGACTGGCCACATTTCAGAAAAGCTTCTGGTGAAAAAACTATTGGAAAAAGTTATGCAAATTGCAGAGCGCAATCTGTGTACCTTTTTCCGATAGATCCCTATAGTGTAGACATAGCTGGAGCCTGCAGTTCCCTCCCGCAGGAAGAGCTCTGAGAAATGAAGGTATAGCAGATATCTAGGCTGGCATAGTATCCACCACGCCCTGACCTTTTTTTGGCAATAAATGCAAGACTGTTGACACAAATTTTTATGAATTGGTGTTGTCAAATTGCTTTTCAGAAGGGAAAATAAGTTTTGGGGTTTTTTTTTATTGAAACAGACTTTCCTTCAGAATCTCCTTTTAATTATATGCTATTTAAAAACACCCTGCTCACAGTCTAAACACAACATTTCACATAGAGTAGTATATCTCCACAGACCCTCTCTGAGAGAGCTGCTAACTGGCCACTCCAGACTGGCTACTTACCGGCTCCTCAGCTACAGAGCCTCGTGGCTCCCATTGGCTGTGGTTCACCATTTGCGGCTAAGTGGAGTCACAGGCAGCAGCAGCCCAGTTCCTGTGGCTCCCCTTGGCTGCAAATGGCAAACCGCAGCCAATGGGACCCGGAAGGCTAACTGGCAGCAGCCAGTTAGCAGCTTTTTCAGAGTGGATCCGCGGATCACTTGCAGAAACACGGATGGAGTGTCACACACATCATTCAACTCGAAGCAAATCTTTACTTTTGAATTTTCCAAAAATGTTCATTTTCAATCTGACCCAGACCTTTTTTCACGTTTTTTTCCCCTAAATTGCCAGTATAGGGGAAAAAAATCCATTGTTCACCTAGCTCCACAACCATGTTCTCCAAGGGTATCTACACCAGTTTCATCATTTCTACACCTGCAATTATGCTGTGTACACCACCGTGACTGACACCCATTGTCAGCAATGGGTCAGTTTGCATGTGTAGAGAAGGCTCAGAACTCCTCCCACCTATTTAAATGGAGACTGAGCACCTAGAATTTTTCTATCATAAGGTTGTACAAGAAGGTATGTCGGCCCCTATTTGTATTTACTTCTCATCCTGACAATTACGTCACAAAATTTAGGGTTGTTTTCTAAAGTAGAGAAGTCTGCAAAGCTATAAAGCTATATCTACAGAAATCAGACTGAGAAATATCAGTTCTGAGCTATGGCTAAATATAGGAATATAGCAGTAAGGAATTCTTAGTCTTGTTTTTAAGCTGCATGGTTTCTTCTCCTGAAATCTGCCTAATAACATATCTGTATTCGTGTTCTAGTTACTGAATAACCATTTTTTCTCATTTCGTTGTTATGCTGCCTTTGCAACCCAGCTATGAAGACAAGATTGGGTAATACTATGCCACTTTTGCTTTGTGTACTTTTAAAATAATGATGATATGAGTGACTAATGAGTTGAAATTTGACTTAATTACTACGTTGTTTTTGTTTAGATGTATCAAGAAGATACTATGCGTTCTCCTTGGATGCATGACTCCTTACATGTTTTTTGCGCAATCAGCGGAACATCTAGTGATGGAGGTTATGGCTCGCTTAGATCCACTGCCGAAATATAAGGAGGTGTACAGTGCAAGTAACACTTTACAGATATTTCTCAGGAATACTCGGAGCTGTGCAAAGGATGTTAAAATTCAAATGAATTACTAGTATACATTCAGTATTTTTTTTCAAAAATTAACATTCTTTCAAACAGGGTTCTTACTTATTTTGCTGAGCAACACTGAAAGTGCCCAGACAATTGCACCACTGTGCTTGTTTTGTACTTTTTTAGTTAAATATATACAGTACACTGAAAGGCATTTATCAAAGTATGTATTGAATTGCTTAATTATGAGCGGCTGTTGTAATGGTACTCTGTAAAGTTGTTACATGGAACATAATAAAGTGTAAAACTGCTTTGTAAGTAGAAAGTGGAGTACAGTGTATAACAAATACCCCTGTGCAATATTTGCTGCTATATTCCCAGTCTCTTGTGGGCATGGGATATGCAGGTCGATGAGATAGCAAACCTGCCCTCAATACTTATAAGCAGCAGCAGTGCTAACTGTTTTGCCAGCCATGGTGGAAAATGTTTTCACTGCCTCCCCCATCCCAGAAGTCAAGCCTAAACTATATTTTTGAAAGGCTACACGGTGCAGTAGCATAGACCCCTGGGAGCTCTCACCCAGGGCAAGAGCCTGCTTGCCCATCCCTGGAACTCTCTCTGCTCATGAGAGATCCTGCCCTGCTAGTAAGCTGTATTTGCTGCCTGTGCACCAAGAGGCATTGCTATGCAGTAGCTAGACTTGCCTAATTGGAATCCTGCATATATCACAAAGACCTAATGCAGACACACACAATCCATAAATAGATACTCTATCTGGTGAACCAAAAAGAATCCTGGTTGAGCCTCTGGCAGACTCCTCAGTTGGCTTTTTGCTTCTCTTACACTGTCTGATAGAGGAACCGTCATTATCACTAAACAAGATATCTGAGAACATAATCCTTTGCCATCTCACTCTTCCTCTTTATCATTCATGGGCTACAAGTTAAATATAGCTTGAGATGATGGGTGATGGAGTTATACATTTTATGTATGAGATAAATAAATTAGGGACCTTCTTAAAGTGGGCCTGGGAGTTTAAAGTGCTTTAGTGTCTTTCAGAAAATGCTAATGTTGTACAAGATGTATTGTAAAGAAAGGAGGGGTTTTTCCAGTGGAAATTTCTCAGCCTGAAATAACTTTTATTAACTAGACTTTTTATATCTTGTGACAAACTTTGATGTTTATTCCTATGTGCGGGGCAGATCTCCTAGACTTGTGTCCCTCAACACAAATGGGAGAACATTTTTCAGACAACATGTTGCTTTTTCTAGCAGATGGCAAAGGATTTTATTCTTTACTGACTCTTACGGGCCCTCATATAGCATCTCTGTCTCTTTCATATCAGTGGAACTTAGTCATATGTGAGAAGAAGAAAATGAATCCACAAAATACTCAGTAATTCCTTCATGCATTAACTTTTATCCAACCACATATGTATTATCTTTACTTTCAAATAACTCCAACTATTCATACAATTCCATGCATCCAACAGTGACTATCAAGCTTTTAATTCTGAGATTAATAAAAGCAGATGCATAGCAAAACCTATATAAATATACACAAGACTTTAGCTAAGTTTTTGACAGAGACAAGGTGTCTGAGCACATTCAACCCTACAAAATGCTAAATTTCTAATCTCTATAATAAAAATAGTCCTTAACTAGCAGATAGTCCATGCTCTACGTAGGGTGACTGTCATGGGATAGCTTCCAGTTATGGAGAGCTAGGCCCTAGTCTTCCCATAACTGGCCCGGGTTAGGTGGCTGACTAGTAAGTAAAGGTTACCTAAGCTCAGTTAGAAGGAAGCCCTCCATGGGTGACAGGAAGCTAGAGAGGGAACCTCCCATATGGAGGACTGCAGTCAGCCAGCCTCAAAGAAGAGCTGGTCTCAGTCAGGAGTCTCTTAGACAGAGGCCAGAAGCCAAGCCCAGTCCAGCAAAGGATCACCTGCAGTTCCTGCAGAAGTGTGGATGGATGGACCTCTGATTCCAGAGAAGCTTCTTTATCCAGTGAGACCAGAGGCCTGGACTAGACTCTAGGGACCCCAGAGCAAAGCTGGGCTGAGGTGTGGGGGCGGGGGGAAACGAGATTGACCTAGTCTCCCAGCTGAGATGTAATGAAGTGACCATTTTGGTCATGTCCTCTTGGCTTTTCTGTCAACACAAGGAGGTGTTCTTGTACCTTATGATCTGTTTGATACCCTGAGTGAGGGGAGGGCTCACCTGCAGTCCCATGTGTGCCTGCAAGGGGCATACCCTGCTGGTCAACCTATAATGACAAAATGGCAAATGGTACAAATTAGCCTCCTGGGAAAGAGATTGAGAGGTCCATTATTTTTAGTAGTAAGCAAAATATACACACTCCTATTTCACAAACAAATCATGTTTCTGCTTCTATGTGCTTATGTTCCAGCCAGGATCCAAATTTAGTTTCACAGAAAGAGGAAGAGAGATTAGTACATTTAAGCTATAATCATTACCATCTTGGTCATCAGCTTTCTTTAAAGAATGTTTAAGGACAAATAGTGGGAACTTTACAAATTATGCTTTGAAAGGATAAAGCTGTTTATTGGGGACTGCAATAAATGGCTTTATCTGTCTGTTAAAAGCACCCAGCAGTACAGCAGATACGTTCTGAGTACACGCAGACAGAAAGCAATAGCGAACTAGTTTCCAAGTTACATGCATTAATGCTTTCTGAAATGCCATCGCCACTCTACTAGTTATTGCTGATGCTGTTCATGGCAATGACAGCGTGATTGTTCTTCATCTCTGCATACAGCCTTGTACAGCCAACTGACATTCTGGAATGAGTTTTCAGCAATATATATTGTAGCAGCAACATACACGTGCATGTACAAACAGGTAACCATGCAGACAGCTGTTTACAGGCAAACTAAATATTGTGCCCACTGCCATATTTTACAGTCACAACATGCACTTAAGGCAGGTGGGGGGAGGAATACAACACGCAGGCCAGATCTGGCCTGTCTAACATTTCTGTCTGGCCATGGCCTCACCACTCCTTGGAGTGGCTGGGTGCTGCTGCTATGTCTGTGTGTGTCCCTTAAGAGGAAGGGGGCTGCCAGTTGCTGTGCACTACCCCCACTTACCAGCACCATCTTGCCAGTTCCCATTGGCCTGTTTCCAGCTAATGGAAGCTGTGGGGGTGGCGCTTGTGAGGGCAGGGCAGTGCACAGAGACATGGCAGGAGCAGCCAGCTGTTTCCAGGAGCAGTGTGGCACTGTGTTGTACGGAGCCATGGCAGATAGGTAGCCAGCCTGCCTGCTGCACTTTATACTGCAATCCCCTGTCTCAGATCAGAACCACCTCCTGCACCCAAACTCCCTCCCAGGCCATGCATCCCCTCCATAACAGAAATGTGCAGCTCGTGACATTTTATCAACATTAATAGAGTGGCTCCCCACTGCAAAAATTATTGCCTACCCCTGACCAATGTTCCCTCTAATTTTTTTCCATCTGTGTACAGAATAAATGTTATGTGTACTAAGGCATGTGCAGATGTGCACCACCAAAAGAAACATATGGTGCTGGCTGTGGATTCTGTGGACGCTCTGCTAATTAGCTGGATGACATTGAAATCTCTCCTGGGAGGCTGCCCAAGCGCTCAGTTTACTCTGTCCCGTCTTAGGCTATGACTAGACTGCCGGCTTCTTTTGGAAGAACCTTTTTCCAGAAGAGATCTTCCGATAAAATTTCTTCCCCAAGAGAGCAACCATACACAAACGCGCATCAAAAAAGCAATCTGCTTTTTCAAAAGATAGCATCCACATTGAACGGACACTCTCTCGCATTTAAGCTGTGATTACTATGGGCGGAATGGCCACCAGGGCACCTGGGCTTTTTCCTCTTTCTTCTTCTTCTGAAAGAACTCCCTTTTCCATGTCCACACATGCCTTTTTGCAGAAGAGCTCTTTTGGAAAAAGGCTTCCTCCTTGTAGAAAGAGGATTACCAACGCCGGAAAAAAACCCTCTGTTCTTTTGATTTACTTTTGGAAGAACGTGATTGCAGTGTGGACGTAACTCAGGTTTTGTTGGAAAACCAGCCGTTTTTCTGACAAAACTCTGTAGTGTAAACATACCCTCAGGGTCAGAGAGAGCAGAGTGCAGAATGCGGTCATGAAGCGTTGAAGGCACTCAGCTTCTCACAACACAGAACCCTGGAACACTAGAACTGGAAGGGACCTCGAGGGACCATCAAGTCCAGTCCCCTGCTCTCATGGCAAGACCTAGTACCATCAGATTATCAGGAACCATTTAGCTGCTTTGTATTGTGAGTCAAAAAGATAAAGAACAGAAGCTGTAGGAAGATCACATCTGCCAGCACTTTTTTGTGAAAGTATGCCTGCTTGGACCAGTGTTGTTATGCATGTGAAACAAAGACCAACATGTTTTCCTCTGAAACATACCACTGGCGTCTGTCTGTCTCTGAGGCTAATTTAGAAGCTAATCATTTCAAGCCAACTATCTTCAGAATTATACTTTTTCACAAGTGTGAATCATCCGGTGCCAAATAATTCAAGATTTCTTTTCATATGTTGCTCAATATCGTAAATTGCCACGTCAAGGTTAGGAGATATGTTTACTGGCCATGTCGGCAAATGGAAATGTGAACATGAGGCCCTCCATAGTCTGATATGTTTGCTTTGCTCTAGAAGCTGTTGGAGTATATAATACATAAAGTTTCAGATGCATTTTCTAATCTACAGAGCACCTTCCATCTCAAAGAATCACAAAGCACATTGCAGACTGGGGGGTCTACCTCTTGTAGACCTTACACATGCAAATAGTCTCACTGGTTTCAGTAAGACAGCCCACAAGAGAAAGGGCCTTCTCCTATGACCCTATCATAGGGGCATAGGGATGACCATACCAAGTCAAACCAAAGGTCCATCTAGCCCAGTGTCCTGACAGAGGCCAATGCCAGATGCCCCAGAAGGAATGGAACAGAACAGGGAATCATCAAGTGATCCCTTTCCCATCACCCATTCCCAGCTTCTGACAAACAGAGGCCAGGGACACCATTCCTACCCATCTTGGCTCATAGCCATTGATGGACCTAACCTCCATGAATGTATCTAGTTCTTTTTTGAACCTTGTTATCACTTTGGCCTTCAAAACATACTCTGGCAAGGAGTTCCAGGTTGACTGTGCGCTGTGTGAATAAATACTTACTTTTCTTTGTTTTTAAACTGCTGCCTATTAATTTAATGCAGAGATTCCTAGTTCTTGTGTTATAAGAAGGAATAAATAACACTTCTATATTTATTTTCTCCAAAGGATGTAAAATTCCTGTTT